TAATAGACCTTACCGTGAGCTAAGTAAGTCTGTCAGCCAAATGTGAGACAATGCCGCACGAGAAAAGAGGCGAGGGCGGCAAGCGAGGTTCTCACGCTCTTTTCTTCCCCGACCACCAGAGCCTCTAGAGACCGTCCGGCCTCTGGTATTTATTTTTTCGACCCACCCACCTCCCTTTCATACTCAGCGTATTCACGTCTGGGTGTCACGTGTTCCCATAGGGGATACATTTATCACTCAGACGTGTTTACAGCTCGAAGCTGAGCATCAGGAGATCCATTTGTGGCGCTTCAACTCCGCTTTCCATCCCGATCGGAGTTTGCCGTTCTCCTGTGCTCACGCTTCCCCACCCACTCACAAGTAAACTGGTCAAAGGTTGCCTCTACTTCAAGGAACCTACCTAGTCATCGAGAACCTCCGTTTGCGAACGAGAGGAAGAAGACAATTAGTTAGCGAAGATGGGGGGAAAATGAAACCTCGTCAAGTCTTAGTGAACCGCGTAGGGGCGGGACCTGGCGGGACATGAATACATCGGCACCACCCGAGCTACGTATTGACAAATATCTACGCTATTTCCCACTCATTTTGTCCTCACCCATCGCAGATACAACCGTGATCATACTTGAATTCCTGGAGGTTGTAAGTTGATCCATTCCACGATGACAATACTTACTGTGAATAACCCAAGCCGAGACCAAGAACGAGAGCACAGTTTCTTTTCGCGCCCATCAGGTCGCAGAGACTCAGAGCTTGCTCAGCATCGACCCTTCTAATGTTATGCTTACTTGTTGGCAGGACATTGATGCATCGATGCTCGATAAGAGCGCTTGGCTTGGGATTTCCTCGCCGGCAAGCACTTACGCGTCGCGTTTCTGCAGCTCGTCGTGTGTATCTGAGCCAATTGACGGCGGCTAGTTCTGAGAACCGCTGAGAAGATTTACAAAGAGGACAGTCTTCACACTGTCAACGAGTATACGAAGATGGACTCTTTTTTGGGTATAAAGGCGCCCTCTATTTCGCCAGCCATTCGACATATCTCGTCTTGAAACCGAACCCATCTATGCCGTGAATAGTATGTGCTTGCTTCGTAATCATATCTCGAATATGCGCCTTCGTCGCCGCAACTCTTACTGACCTATAAACCATTATATTTATGTTACAGAGCTTTCGAATCCGCATCATAACCGGCTAACGTCTCCAAGTACAACGATGTCCGCTCCTAAGGCCTCTATCGCCGCCACGCGCCCCGTCAACCCGTCCGGCGTATCGCCCACACTCACCGCAGACCAGCTCTGGAAAGGGCTTGTCATCAAGTCCCGTGAACCACAACGCTTCCTCGAGTTCTTTGAATCGTGCGAGATCGTCAAGGATGAAGGAACTCTGGTACGCTGTCGTGTCGGCTTCGGATAGTTCGAGGTCTATGTACGTTTCTTGCGTTCTGACAGCTGTTTCATACATCTCAGATATCCCGCCGTGCAAAGACCAAGACCGGACAGATCATTGAGGAAGATGTTCACCTATATGAGCCTACTATTGTACGTGAACCCTTTATCTTTCTGCATTCACCCAGCTATCGTCGTCGTGTTCTGTTTCGAATTATGGAGCCCGTCACTTCATTCCTTTGTCAACCGTCCTTGCTATAACTTTTGGCTTCATTTTGTTTGCTCACCCCTTGTTGATGTAGTGTTACTTCGAATCTGGATCCTTCCGCGTCACCAACATCATCTCCTACGACTCTGCCGGCGAGCTCCAGCTCACCTTCTCCTTCTGCAACGGCATTCCTGGCCCGAATCCCGATGAGGCCCTCACTAACCCGGTTGTAGCTGCGAACAAGGTTGGCGAGGGAGCGGTCAATCATACGCTCGAGGCTGTGAGGGCGTTAGTCAGGTCTGGAGAGATCCAGTAGCTGAGCAGTGGGAGAATGATGATGTGTACCAGTGATCCGTGAGAGTGGGTAGGTTTGTACTTTAGGAATAGAGGTTGTATCAGTTTCGTCTGTGAATCGTATTTTTTGTTACTGCGGTACCGGAAAGGGTCTATGAATCAACTTACGACCAAGGCTGTCGCAAAGGTATCAGATAACTGCTAGCGCCGGTGAATCTGTCGTTGAAGGTAGAAGACACACGAACGGAAAGGAAAGGGCATGCAAAATGAGGATTTGCAACCGATGAATAATATTATGGATAAAGGAGTGTAGGGATTATGGGATTATAAACGAGTGAGTTTACTGGATATCGTCCGAACCAGGTATATAGACCAACCAAAAAAAATCAGCACGTAGCTTAGCTATGTACGTCGACGATGGGAAAAAGATGGTGTCAGTGAGGTATGTACGCTAATGATGAACGACCACAAGCATAAGTTAAACAAAGACTCGGTCATAAATGACAACGAGGACGCGAACCTGCCGGCCAGAACTTGAAGGACGTAACAAGTATAAGAAATCGGTACCATGCTACCTCGTATATAAGGCCTCGTAAGCAGGCCCAGGGCTCAGGCTGATATGGTCCACGGACTTGTAGTGCAGAGCGTTCCGTCGTACACACGATTTTTACCCGAAGCTCATTTCAATCCCCTCAGCTTGACAATCACCTCCTGCATGCTCTCCGCATTCCACTCCCCGCTCCAACCCTGCCTCTTCTCCTTCCTCGACAATGCCTTCACACGATTCTTCACGCTCTCATTCCTCTTCAACCCAACTCCAACTCCAAATCCTTGGGCCTTTCCGTGTTCTTGTCCACGTATCCACCCACCATCAACCAATTCATGCTTCATGTCCTCCTCAACCTCATTCTCTCGCATCTGTTCCTCTTGTATCCAACGCGCGAGCGCCTCGTCGTCACGATTGCCGACTCCGGACCAAGCTGCAGCTGGATCCCAGACGGGTCCAATGTTGGCGAACGGTCGATCAATGTGTTGGGAGTGGATCGGACCACGAGGGTCGAAGTTCTTGCGCAAGGGGGTGTGCACGAGGCTCTGTGTGTGCGCACAACGTACAGACCACGGAGTCATGGGTTGCGTGGGTGAAGGCGAACGGTCGTCCGGTGTTGGCTGAGGACTAGCTTGATGCTGGGGTGAATAAGAGCCTGGGTGGCGACGAGAGATGGGTGGACTACGCGGCATATGTAGGCGGAGATCGGCGGGAGAGGGTGCCTGTGGAGATGCGAGGGCTTGCGATAGTGCCGGGGAGGGTTCAGGAATCGGAAGAGGATAACCACGCACGGCGTGCAGACAGGGAACGCCAGAGATATCAATCACTTCGGTATTCGCCTGTTGCGCCTTCCTCTCCCTCACACGACCACGTTCATCATCGACATGCGTCTGCGTCGTCGAAGTCATCGTGACGCCCATCGTTCTCGACTCAATACCAGGCGGGAGCGGCGGAACGATGGACAACACGTTATTCTTCCTCGTATTCCACTTGCCGCCTTCACCATCACTAACATCTCCAACAGCCTTCCTTTCCGCACCCTGCATAACCAACTCCACTGGCGGCCTCTCCCCCAAATGTCTCGCAAGCTTCGACATCCTCCTCCTCCTAGCCTGCAGGTCCTTCTGCTTCCTCTTCTTCTCACGGTCCGAGAAAGCACTTTGTGTGCTCGGAGATGTGGAAGAGATGGAGGCGCGACGCATGGAGGCGCGGGAGGTACGGACTGTGAACGCCGGAGAGCGGGGCGAGAGGGATGGAGAAAGCAAGAGGAAGCTGTTCGATGGCGAAGGTGTGAGAGAGGGTGTTCCCGAACGGTTTCGGTGTTTACGCGAGGTCGAGTTACTGATGGAAGGAGTGGGACGAGGACTCGGAGTAGGACCGGATGCAGAAGGGCGAGCACGGTCTGGGCTGAGATGGGGCGACGAAGGCGAGCCGGAGATGGAGACGGATTTCTCGGACGAGGGTGTGGCGAGGCAGACGTTGAAATGGGTTTGGCCAAGAGATTGGGCTTTCTCGACGTTGACGCTGAGGTTCGGCCTCGAAGCATGGTGCGAAGTGGAGCTGGAAGGTGGTTCGATAGGAAAAGACGTTTCGATGGTGAAAGGGGGCTCGAGGATGGAAGGAAGTGGAGGAAGGAATGATTCAGAAGCAGAAGACTTCTTGTGGCGGTGGCGTTCTGATATGGCGGACTGGCTCTGCTATAAGACGTTTGATGAGATCGAACGAGCGAGAATACAGAGAAAGAACTCACAGTGTAAGCAGAAGTAGAAGCAGTTCGGCCCCTCTCACCAAACATGAAGTCATTCAAACTACCACTGTCGCTACTCGACCTCTCTTTCCCCTTGCCCTTAGCCTCCCTTTTCCCTTCAACCTCACTATCCACCGACTTCTGCGACCTATGACCGGAGCCCTTCAGGCCCATCCGTGCCGGCGGAGAAGCTGGGGTCGAGGCCGTCGGCGACGGCATAACGAACGCAGAAGCGGCAAAGAAGAGTGGCGAGGCCCGTTTATTGCTGCGCGCCAATTGATCGTTATCGGGCTTCTGCTCTCTAATGGAACTCCTATTCGAATGAGTGGCCTCGACCTTCCGTCCGCCCGGCGGTGTAGGCTTCTGAATCGGACGCTTCTCCGCCACCATACGAGGCGGGAAGAACTTCGGCGCGATATTTGTATAAACGATCTCCTCCTCCACCTCCGCATGCGAGCTGATCGTTGGAGCGGTGGAAGGTCTGTCCGAGCTTCGGATACGAGTGCGAGTGCGATTACGACTTTGAGGAGGGTTGAATGCGGTGGAGGTGGGGGAAGGAGGTGTGAGACGGAGGACGGGAGTGGTACCGAGGACTTTCGCGAGTTTGCGCGTGGACTTCATGAGCCGTTGACGCTGGTCGGCTGTGAGTGGGCGCTCGAGTGGGGGCGTATCGAGATTTCGTTCGGAGGGCGAGGGTGCGGTAGTGGGACGACCACGGGAAGAGGAAGAGGCTGTGGAACGACCCCAGGAGGAGGAAGGAGATGTGGTGGGACGACCAAGCGTGGATGTAGGGGCGGTGGTGGGACGACCGAGACTGGAAGTAGGAGCGGTGGTAGGACGACCATGATGGGATGTAGGTGCAGTGGTAGGACGGCCGAGATGGGATGTAGGTGCAGTAGTAGGACGACCAAGATGGGATGTAGGTGCAGTGGTAGGGCGCCCAAAAGATGACGTTGGGGCAGCGGTCGGACGACCAAAGGAAGAGGTGGGAGCAGTGGTCGGACGACCCTGAGAGCCAGAGGGCGCGGTGGTTGGACGACGGAAGGATGCCATCGTAGAGTTGGCCTGGAGAAAGAGAGAGCTAACGAGTTGGAGTCAGCTTTAAGACATCAAAACAGAATGACGATGGCAGGGGTCCAGCGAATAGATGACAAAAAGGAAGAGAGGGGCGCACCTATTGAAATGGTGGGAGACCACGGGTCCTGAGAAGATAAAGAAGTGATTGCGAGTGTGGAGTTGATCCGATGAACTATGTATGGTGATACCGTCGAGGCCGAAATTCAAGAAAGGCGAAAACGTCGAGTTCCGTGTATGTTCTGAGAAGGTACAGCGAAGAAAACAAGCTGTGGTCGGGAGGAAGACAGAGACACAGGAAAGTGGGGAAAAGGACGGAGGTAAGACAGTGGAGCAGCCAAGCCTAGATAAATCGTGAAGATGCAGTAAAGCTAAGCGATAGGCTGAGAGATCGGGGCGAAGAGCGCAGTGATGAAGCACTACGTAGGGCCCCGTTCTCCGTTGTCTCCAATCGGAAGATTAAATTTAACCACACGAGGGGCACTATAGGTAATATCGTCAGTGGGGTGGGGCGCGGTCTTGCTCTGGTGTTAGCAACAGGAAGCAACTTCTTCTTTACTAGCGGTAAAAGCCAGCTCGTGATAGGTACGAATGAAGCAGAAGCAGAAGTTCTCGACGGCCTGGCCAGCGCTGACGCTGGTTCCCTTCGCCTGCCCTTGACGTAATCCCGAGATCGGTCTGAAGTGATGGAGAGGAGACAAGTTTTCGAGGACGTCGATTCGGAGCCTCTTGGAGATGATAGCTAACGACAAGCACAGTGCTTTGAACGCGCTTTGACAGTGGAGAAATGGATCTTTCTCTCCTGCGTAGTTGCGATGCCGCAGTAGCGGGAAGGGGTGTTTCATCCACCCACATTTAGCGAATAATCTGAGTTGCAATCTTGTCGTTAGCGGGTGAACCCCTGTTGCTGCTGCCCTTCAAACGCATGGTCGATGGTCTGGGGCATATGTGATAGTCGACGATACTCTCGCCAAACAAATGATTGTGCTGCTAATGTACAGCAAACCACCTTGAGGAGCATCAGTGAGGGCAAATATCGACCGCAGAGGAAGTCGATGAGCTGGCGTGATGATGGACGGTGCGGAGGAATTCTTATCATCACTTGCGGGTTCGGGGGCCACAATGCTCGGCATTTGCCGACGCAAATCAAACCTGCCATCAGTGGCCCCGACGGTGTTGAGCATTGTGGCCCACACAGTTCTGGGCGTCGTATTGACGCGCTTGGAGAACTAGATACTCCAAGTATAGGAGGGACCGAGGCGGTGATTAAGCCAGGAAGAAGCGCAATATAATTCTCGGACTGTTGGGCCAGTCCTATGCGCGCTATCGGAACCTCCACCACTTCCCCTGTCCGCTCGGGGCGATCTCTCCCGCCTCCTTGTTCCCCAAACCGTTAACTCCATTCTTCGACTCGCCCTCACCCTCCATCATAGCCTCCCCCACTTCTCTTCTCCCCTCCCCTCCAGACTTATCAGCACCGATCTTGCCAGGTACGCGCACACCATCTCCAGGCTCGCCCATGACCTTGGCGATGGCAGATGAGTTCAGAAGTTGTGCGTAGCGGGGCTGGACGAAGAGGGCACTATTTTTTTTTGGGTTAATTTGTATTTGTGGAGTGGCGGATTGAGTCGGTGTCGAGAGAGGCGGGAGGGAGTGGTGTTGAGAAAGGAGGTTAGTCATCGTGTCGATGAGGGAAAGACGTCATAGGCCATCGTTGAAGTATCGTGGTGAGTGCCGCGTAAGTGGAAGAGGGAGCAAAACAACATCAGCAGGAGGGAGAAACGAGGGGGCTTACTCTGCTTCTACGAGTAATTTGCCGGACAGGTCTTCGACCGTGCCTACGACTTTTGTCCGGCGGCCTTTGGCCTCGACTAACTTGATCTTCAAGACGATAAACTGGAGCAACACATAATATCTGGTAAGACATACACCAATCGTCAAGGGCTCTCGGGACCGACACCGTACCTGGTCTGCGAGCGTTGGAGCTTTATAATTGATGTTAAGCCTTGCAGTTACACCGATCTTCTCCGGGAGGTTAAGGATGGCCTGGCGAGGAAAACCTTCGCATTAGCTTATGCCGATAATACGGGAACACGATAGTCCGTCAAAGAGCGGGTGATCGCAGTAATATCGAAGGAAGCCAAGTAGAAAAACGGACTCACCACTCTCGCCAAACTCTCGTCTAACAACGTCGCCAACAAACCTCCATGAATAACTCCATCATGTCCACACAGTCCTCTCCCCACATGCACGAACACCCATCCCTCGCTCTCGTCTCTCTTCGCCCTCACTAACGGCGGTAAGGCCAACCTTCCCGGTCCCCTCAACGCCCCCGCCGTCAAACTATTCACTCTCCTCTCCTCCGGAACCTTCAAATATGGTCTCGTCTCATACCAATCTTCTCCCGCCGCTTCCGTTGCCTCTCGGTGTTGTAATAGAAGTGGAAGGGATTGCAAAGTTTCTTCTAAGGACTCGACGTAGGAAATTGCATCGGGGTGTGATGGGTCGGGTGGTGGCGGTGCGATGCGTGGGGATAGGAAAGTGAGAAGAGTTGGAGGGAAGAGGGACCCAAGGGTGTAGGATGTGAGAGCGATTCCTGTGATGCTTAGGATGAGAGCTGGCCCACTGAAAGCGCGGCGGTGGGTGGCGTGTGGCGTAACGTGAGGCCGGATTGGAGAAGTGTGGTGTAGATTGTGTGCGTTGCGCGAGCCCAATAGCTGTAGCGAGCGTAAAACTGGACGAGACATAGTTTATGAGAATGGTGAGGGTATCACTCCAGATAAATATATTCTGTAAAGCGGGCGGTCAGAACGTTTGATGTCCGGTGAAGACGGGTACGAAGACAACGGAACAGTCAAGTGTAAAATGATGACATTACCTATCACTGGTCCTGGGTCTTTAGAATGGACAGAATACTATCAGTTTTCGTGTAAAGAGGCTTGTATAAGGATTAGTGAACAAGAGTTTTGTTGGCTGCTGGCACAGTGATCAAGGACGTGCTCCGGGCCGAGAGGGAGGTGAAGTATCCGGTTGGGGTGACACACGTGGGAAAGAAATTAGCCGAGCTATGTTGAACTTTGGCAGTTCTCCGCGAACAACCACCGTACTTAACTTCGTCTTGATCATCTTCTAGGCTATACCGATTGCGGACTGCAATTGATCTTCTCTTTGTCTTTTTTTTCCGAAAGTACGCGGTTTTCTTTGTTAGATGGAATTTGGTCTTCTTCAGCGACTTCTCCGTACAAAAACACGCCAGATCTCGAACTACCTTCTGATAGTTGGGTGGTTGTAACTTGTCGACGTAAGATCCAGTTTTCTGGTCATCAACTCTCGATATCTCTTGGTAAATCAGTCTGTTCTACGTTTGAACAAAAAAAATGCCCCTCTACCGTCTGGATGGAGGAGGCTTCTGTCTACTTCAATCTATGTACCCCGTAGAGTCCGTCCACTACCGGTATCTGGAGGGGTATATTTTTCTCACAGACTTTGGCAGATGTATATTCCATGGTCGTATAGGTACTGACGTTTCCCGCGAAAATTGCTAGGGGGCGTGAAGAACTCACCGCTTCTGACGACAGACATCTCATCGAGTGGATCGGGCTCCGTATGTCCTCGGCAGACGATCACCCATAAAAAGAAATAGCAGAACACAGAAAACTCTATGGAACACGACGGTGAGTCGCCTTCTTCTATTTATACACAATATAGCCATCACTTTCAGGACTAATCTTTGGGTTGTACTTCGCGAAACACAGGAATCATAGAGCGACCGTCACGATACGTCAAACTCCGAGCTCGATCTGATCCACTGATCAAGGCCTTAGTAGCCAAGTATCTGCCGGAAAAGTACCTGAAAGGTTTGGCCCCATTGAGTGATCTTCGAAGACAGGGAGATGATAATGCAGATGAAACCTCAGAAGATGGGGAGGATGATGACGACGGCACTATCCAGGGCAACGAGCAGAAGAACGCGTTCAATTTGGACGCGGTTGTTGGGCCGCCTCCCGGACGCGAGTCGACCGCTCACAAGGTCCGTCCGTCGTCATTCTCCATAAATCTAAATCAGCATTGCCAGTCTCACGCACGGAAGATAAACAGACGATCTTTCTCACATTTGGCCTGCTACCTGCACGACTACGAAGAGCATGTCGACCATGACCGCGGCTAAGATAACTCCCACAGAAAATAGGAAGGAAGGAAGGAAGGTGTAAACACGCCGGCGCGCTGTCCCGTCTACTTTTGCCCACATCGAAAGTCATGGCTGATCCGTCCTAGAAATCTCGCCATGTTTCGGGCCCCGCCCATGGAAACAGTGATCCCTTAGGCGAGTACGACGTCCAGCCCGCTCACGGGCGTTCTTTCTCCGTCGAAGGCGAATCTAAGGTTTACCATGACATAGGAGTCGACGAGAAATTGCATGGCGAATATGATGGAAACGCGATCCTCGAACCGAACGGGGACGACGAACAGGAGGCGGTAGCGCAGCTCACTGGGGAGGGAGTCAACTCCGTAAGTTTCTCCGACACCGTCATGTCCAGTTACTCACCCTTCACGGATAGTCGACATCTTCTGCAAGCCGTATTGCTCAGGCTTATCAAGACGAAAGGTAAACAACTCGCAAAATGTCCTGGTTACTGATCATGCTCTATGTTGCAGGATTGTCCTACCGCACCGCAGCCATCGCTTCTGTCCTCGTTTGGTGGCGTGAAGAGCACGGATACCCATACATAAATAAACAGAAATGTCGAGGGGAAAAATGCGCCATTTACACCTCCGCCCGGTTCACGGGCTGCTCTGGCTGTCTCCCGGAAGAGAAAGCCCTATGGTGCCGCTGCGAACTTCACGGACCCTTCGTTGTGCCCCTAATCACATTTGTATCTACCTACGAACTGAACATCTTGTCTGTCCGTATATTGAAAATCTTTTCCCCTCGTTTCGTACAATGAGGCAATCTTTGAAAAGGAGCCACGCTGATTGTGGCACCTTGGCCTTGCTAACGCCACAGTCACGCTCACGGTGTAACAGGCGCGTGACTGGACGCGTTTATTCAGGTTTATTCGCGTCTTTCTCGAATCTCCTTCTTTCCTCTTCCTTCTGCACCACATCAAGCTTTCGTCAAGATTTCTCTTTCCCCTCCTCAAACATGTCTTCAGATACCACCCCGCCGACCACACATTCCACAGTCTCTACCACAACGTCCATCACATTCAAAATAGTCCGCTCAGACGTGTCGCCCAGCAGAACCGTATCCATCGAAGCCGAACGGAGCATGACGGTCACAGAGCTCAAGAAGGAGCTCTACCGACTCGAGGATATCGCCCCTGAAAACCAGAGACTTATGCACCTGGGAAGCACAATGCGCGATGAATGGACTCTGGAGCAGAGTGAGGTCCGAGATGGGGATGAGATTCACAATATTCGGCAGATGCGGGGATGAGCGTGTGTGGCTTGGAGCGGTTCATTGGGCTCGTTGACAGTTTGGTATGTCCATGGAGCTTGGCTACAGATACACTTCCTGATCCTGACAAATGCGCTTCGCGTACATAGCTTAGATGGAGAGGGATACCTCGCCTCTGCCTTCAGGGACCATCCATGCTTTCCGTAACTCGCTTGATCCGTGCTCTGCCGTCTATGTGCACGATGAGGATTGTTCGACACGAATGAATAGGCATAATGAATCACCATAATATATTATGTAGCCCGGTATACTAGTAACCACATAACCCGTTACACATGCGTATGTACGCGTATGTAGCAGCACTATGATCCACATATCCACACCACACAGGCCTCTACGCCGGACATCTAGTGTGAAAAAGGTCTCGAGAGTCCAATGCGAGTATGTAAGTAAGGCAGGTGAGTGGTGACGAGGATGAGTGTGACGATATTTGACAGTCCAATGAGTACGCCGTATGTTAGGCAAAATTCAAGAGTGAGACCCGATCAATATGAGCAAGAAGTCCATGTAACAGAGTAATGAGAGTGTGCGAAGTCCGTATGCCACAGCAGACCAAACCAGGAGAGCGTAAAGCAAATAGTAACAAGGAAGGGCAACCACGAGTTTGTCCAACGAAAACCAAAATGAGAAAGATAGTGGACAGCAAATACGACAGCTTAGAGCTTCGAGCCAGAGTAGAACGCCACAGCGCCCCTCGAAGGGACCGAGGCGGTGACTTTGCCGCCACTGACGGTGATGCTAGATCATGGGAACGAATTCAGTTTGAGCATGAAATTCTGAAAGGAGATAGGAAGTTGTGAACGTACGTAGTTCCAGTGCATGAGCTTCCCGAGACGGCACCGCTGATCACATCGCAGTACGTGCCATCGGCGAGACCAGTTGTGAAGGTGTTATCCCACTCGCCGTCAGTGTTGTTGATGATCACGAAGCCGACCGCATCTGAGAATACACCTCAAATCAACAACATAATCTAAAAAGCCACAGACCGAATTGGAGAGAACAGGATGGGAAAACGCACCACGCTCGTAGGCGATCTGCATATTGGACCCAGTTTGCCAGTTGGTGAGCGAAGTAGACCCAGCAGCGGTGCGGAACTTGACGAGGTTGGCGATCGCAGTCCAGCGGTGTTGGCACAACCAGCCGTTGGTGCCGTTGTTGCCACTGCAGGAACCAGCACCTATTGGTAGTCAGAGGCCAAGGTAAGCGTCCAGTACAGTGGCGAGGACATGTGTAAGACTGACCGGAGTTGGGAGCGCCAGCATCATTGTCGCTAAACTCATAGGATGACAGCACGCTCGGCGTTCCGTAATTGTGCGTCCTATTCAGAGGCACAAATCCATCAGTACACACTTCTTACCACGGGCCAACAGGGAAATAAGGTCGAGAGCTGGTACTCACAACGAGAACACGTGTGCTAAAGTATAGATCGCCCCATCCTTGTAGTTGAGTCCACCGCCGTTGTTTCCCCTCTCCGAATCCATGTTCGCAACCCAAACGCTCGCCGCGCTCGAAGTTACATCACTCGTGCTCTCGACGTTCTCCAGCGTATCGATCCCACCGGTCTTGAACGCGGTCTCTACAGCGACTTGGTAGTCGGACACGGACACTGTCCCAAGAGAAGCGTAGTCTGATTCCGGAATGGGTTGACCGGTGCCGATGACCTCTTGGGTGATGTAAGGGGTGGTGGAAAGTTGGGAGACGATGTACTGGAGGTCAGTCACGGGTATGTCTGTGAGTTGGAAATGGGATACCGTTAGTGTGCAATAGTACTGTGACTGGCAGGGGAGTAGGACGTACGTTTCGCAGCGTCGAGACGGAAGCCGGCGACACCGAGGGAGAGCATGTCATTAGCTTCATCGACAAGCGTTTTGCGAACGTAATCCGTCTCGGTCGCCAGGCTATCGAGGGTGTGTGAGTAAGGGACGAGCGAATTCGTAGAGAAATACATACTCGGCAAGGTTCTCGAGTTGGCAGAACTGGATTTGGGTCTTGTTCGACCAGTCCACTGGACAAGAGTGATAGGACTGTTAACCGCTGAGATATATACGCCATATGGATGATTTAACCTACAGATCGCATCCCCATCCGTGCCACAATAGTGGAAGTCGTACGAGGAGTAGTACCCGGGGTAGTTGTAGTGGGTCCAAGCTTCACGAAATCAAGCGTATCAATCAACTACTCGTAGGAAAAGAATGAAATATACTCACATGTACCAGCAACGCCAGTTCCCGAGTCCGAACCAGCCATGTGGTTCCAGATCGCGTCGACGAGGACACCGACGCCAGCATTCTTACAGGTCGTGACCATGCTGGAGAATTCGTCTCTGGAACCACGTTTGGAAATGAGCTGGTTGGAGACTTTTTGGTAGTCGGTCCACCAGGAGTCGCCAGTGATGTGTTCGGTGGCGGGGGAAACCTGGACATAGGCGTATCCTATAGGTAATAGACAGGTGTGAGTTGGAGACGCCCACAGCAATAGAACAAAGAGCGCAAGAAAGACTGAGACATTGCATGCAGGTATTATCTTCCACCTAACATGATATCCATCGGAGGCTTGGAGCGGTGAACGAGGTTTCTGAGCCACATCCGTCCACAGGGGTGCCCCATACCCCATAAGCAGTCTCGATTTCGCCGAAGGTAATGCTTCGATGTGTGAAGCGGCGCTCAACACAGTTTCACCTACGGCTTGTCATGGAGGTCGTAAGATTAGACCACAATGGAACCCTGCGGAGCACGTTCGGTTGCGTTTGGGAATAGTCTGCCATTCCCAATCTTCCCTGAAACCAAAACAACCTGAAATTTTGGGACACGTCGAAAAACACATATGAGGACACGGTTCGAAACTCTGTGTGTGGCCTAATGATTGGTAGACAGCGCAGCCTCAACGGAATGGTGCCACCGCCACACAACAAAAATATTTGACAGCAGGGTCCCGCAGCACGCAGTTGTGTGAAGGCAAACAAAAAAAAATGGAGAGCGGACGAAACGATTGCTAACCTGCAGGCCCGATAAAGTCTGTGCATTCCTGGGCAACACTGTTCCAATTCCACTCGAACATCTGTATGATGACGGCTGAAGTAGTACACAGGAATCAATATCCACACCACCAAAATATGGTAGGATATACGCACGGTTCGTGGTGGCATCACGAGTAACAGGCTGTGCAGCCAGACGGGGCGCCGCGTTCACGCTGGCGATTCCAGCGGCGAGTACGGCGAGGAATACTGAATTAGTGGAGAGCATGTTGGGTAGTAGTTGTGTCGTATAAGCAAAAGAGAGTGGTGTCTTGAGACGAAAGAGCGACGGCAAGATGACCTGGGGAACGAGACAAAGGTATGGGTGTGGTGAAGGTGAGGACAAGAACAAGGATGAATTCAGAACAAAATCGAAACAAGGGGATGCCACGTTACTTTCTTGCCCCATAAATGTTTTCCCACGCGCACTTACGGCGACTGTGGCCCGTTGCATCGTGTTTCGGAGGTCCAAACTTGGTCCAAACTAAGAACTTGTCCTTGATCCAGACTTCCATGGCACCATTAACCCTCTTATAACGCAGATGTCTCCATTTCGTTTGGTCGTGTTTGCCCTCTTCATTTCTTTTTGAGGTGCTTTCTTCAGGTTCGAACTAAAATAGTCAGGTATGCCATTCTGGCTAGTGCGCTAACGCGCTTTGAAGGTATTGACATTTATCCTGCAATTAATGGTTAGTGCTATCAAGCGACGACGGTCAACCATTTTGGCTGTAAAGATTTCCCTGCTTTGGTTGGGCTACGCCCTTCAGCCTCACCAATCTGACTTCCTTCCTGTTCATCTCGCTTCTATAGGCCAACTGTCCGATATATTTATCGACAAACGGGGCGTAGCTCCGGTAGGTCTTGTCCTCTTACTGGCTTCATCTTGTCTCGATTTCGTCCGCATCGACGGTTGATTCCAGCCCGGCGTTGACTTCCGGACTTGAACAAGCTGTCAAGCTGGAGACTAGAGTCGGAAGAACAAAGAATTGCATTTGGAACAGCACGAGCCACGCTCCCGGATCTGTGAACACACTGTGGCGGTGGCTCGAAACTGATGTACTTAGATGTGTCACTCGTCATCAAGTTTGATCACAACTCTTCATGATGGTCGCGGGCTCCGCCTCTATATGCATCGGTTAACCTGTCCTGGGCTTATATCTCTTGTCTTGATGCCTCTGGGGTCGCGCGTCAGCTACCATATGGACTCAACCATATTGAATGACGGTCCCATCGGCTATCTATCTGCACACTTCCCACCGTTAACCTTTGCCGATCCAGTTGAAAACATGTTCGAACAAAATCCTCGAGAACCTCAAGCTTTGCATGCGCAAATGCTTCCCTCATGTACTCGTCCGTCGACCCACATGAACATGCTCTCTCGTGCTCTGACTCGACACCCTCGTCGTCCAGCAAATCCATCTTTGATCACAACTAAAGGATATCTGCGTCATACCTCCATGTGCTGATGTCTACTCCGTTGTCTCTATCAAATGAGCCCGAAAGTGTTCACATCCATTGACAAGCCCACATGCCCTCTGCGCGTCTGTCCTCCCTGCAACCGCGCACACGATACCCTGATGGTTTTATTATTGGGGTCCTACAGTGCTTCATCGACTACACAGGTCATCCCATTGAAAACTCTTCGGAGGACTGTACATGTGAGATGAACACTTACCTTGGCGATACTTCCGCATGCTTTCTCGGACAGAAACATGTGTACACTCCCCAATCTTCTGCTTCCGTGATCCCCAGTCTTCATGCGAGCTCTCTATATAAGACCAATCGCAATCCGCTGGAAATACTAACCTCGCAGCTTCGTCAACAGGCCGTCCATCCTACACCCTCATCTACCAATCACACGCTCACTTCGCGGTCCTTTACCCCTCCACTCATATCACCACGATGAAGTCCTTGTCTGTTGCTGCCGTCCTAGGACTTGCCTACTCTTCTGGTGCTTTCGCGGACCGCACGTATGTCGCTCTCAACCTTTCACACTTCATGGAGACTAGCACTAACCAATCAATCATCGTATATAGCATGACCGTCACCAACAACTGCGCCTACACCATCTGGTAAATACCATACCGACGAACCGATTGTAACGCACAGGACTCATGTGTGATGTTGTTTAGGCCTGGAATGTTCACTGACTTGAACGCCGGCACCGCTGTCCCCACGCAAACTACAGGATGGGAGCAGGACGCTGGAGCGACTGTCTCCTTCTCCGTTCCCGACAACTGGACTGCAGGCCGTATCTGGGTGAGTATCCTCTCCTTTCCCGACGGATAGAAAGTCTGATCACTTTAATTATTTGAATCATATAGGGCCGTACCAGCTGCGACTTTACCACCAACCCTGGACCCAACTCCTGCACGACCGGTGGCTGCAATGGTGGTCTCGTCTGCGACCCATCTACCGGCACAGGTGTTCCCCCCGCCACCGTTGCGGAGTTCACGCTGAGCACAAGCGATTTGCCAGACAACTATGATGGTACGCATCCCTATTCATATTCCCTTCGATTCCTTCTTCTCCATGTTATCTCCGGCGTTCTCGAGGTAGTATTCCAATGTTCACGATAGCTAACGGCTCCGGTAATCTTGTTTATAGTTTCGCTCGTTGATGGATTCAATATCCCGATGGAGGTCACTGTCACTGGCGGTTGCTCCACTGCATCCTGCCCCGTTGATCTCAACCCGGACTGTCCTTCTGATATCGCGGACACCGATTCTACTGGCGCAATCATCGGATGCAGGAGTGCGTGCCAAGCTGGTCTGTCTTCTGACCCAGGTGCGCTCGCTTTCATATTCATGATCACGAAGTTCATTCGAGCTTAACCATCTGTGCTGTATTAGCCAACTCGCCTTACTGCTGCACCGGCGATCACGACACTGCCGCCACTTGCCCTAACTCCGGCGTTCTCCACTACGACTACTTCAGTACGTGTTATCCTCACTGAATCATTTCCATGTCGAACTCATGGTGTCGTGCTTTTGCAGAGGGCAGCTGCCCCGACGCGTACGCCTATGCTTACGATGAATCTTCCGGCACTGCGCTCTGGACTTGCCCATCTGCCACCGCGGCTGACTACACCATCACTTTCTGCCCTTAATGTGTTGCATTATGTGGCTCTGCATGTAATTTATTCCTCGTACATACCGATATTTATCTCCTTCCTGCGTCGATATATACCCTCGTCCAACCCTAATCACCCTCTGGAATATCCTGGCGTTGAGACGTCGGCATCAAGGTGATTGTGGCACCTTAGCTTGGTCACCCTGCAGACGTGTCTGGCCTGGCTTGTCCCTGCGTTTTCCTCTAGTGAGATAGATTCCATTTGTCTTCAACTGACAGGGGCAAACAATAACTCCTAGTGCAACTATCGGACCCGTTGTTTTTATAGGTGAGTGAGAATATGTAGCGCAGATCATCACCTCTTCTATGCTTCACGATGCCTATGTAGCGTGCCCAACGCACTTCACAACATATCTATTCCATACCAAAAGCATCTTTCAGACCTAATAGTTTATTTTCCTGCTCAAAATCATCGACGATGAATCTCCTCGGTGGGCGCTCGGAATACAGGACCATCGGGGTCAAGCAAAGTGATAGAATACAATGACGAAACTTCTAGTAGTCGTCAATAGCCAGCACAAAGGTGGTTCGCCATTAAGTTAAGTCTTTCTTGAGCTCTCAACAATGCCTGAGCTCAAAACCATTGAGGTCGATGCTCTAGTCACTACTGATCCCATTCAGTTAATGTGATTCATGGATGACCGCGTACCAGTCATATTCTCCACCAGCGGTGATGTTCATGGTTGGTTGAACACCGCCAAGGCAGAGTACAGAGCGGGCAGGAATGATGCGGCGCGAGATAAATCGCTTAAGTACCGACTGGGGATGTGACGGCGTCACGAGCGACTGGTTGTGACTGGACGCGATATCACGCTCCCTCTCACTTTTTTTCGCCTCCGAGTCTTTGACTCCAACCCTCTCCAACCCTGATGTGAGTAGACGCCTATTCGTGATTCGTTTAAGAGCGTTTGTATGTTCTAAGCAGTCAGGGATTTATCAAACCGTATTCGCTCACAGTAGCGCGCCCTGGATAATCCCAATAGCTGAACGTGCGGGTCTTGCTGCACAATTGCACCCCCTGACGACCTACTAGTAGATCTAGCAGTGCACTTGCATCTCAGACTTGAGAAGTTTGGCCCGATTGTACGTCGCTACCTCTCCGGACAAGGCCCTCCATCCCATTGTTCTTAGATGCTTTTCGTAACTGATGATGCCCTTCGTTTGTGCAGCTATCATGGACTCGTCCATGGTCTTCACCGTCTTCGTACCTCGTAGGCCATCATATTATTTTAGTGGAGGGTCCGCGCACACCACAGCTGCACATGCTCTACCGCCGTCAACCTTCATAGATCGTCTTCCTGTCGAGATCTTGGCCAGGATCTTCCTACTCGCCAAAGGTCCTCATATATTTCCCGCAACAAACAGCTTAACGGACTCTTTCGATCTTCCCTTAAGGGTCTCCCATGTCTGTCGTTTTTGGCGACAGGTAGCACTTCGAAGTCAAAAACTTTGGACGACTTACGAAATCAGCCACAAACGTCCTGCAATTTTACCCCTCGTCGAACTGTATTTGGAGAGATCGGGAAACCTTCCTCTTAGCATTTCCGTATGGTGGCATCCCGCTAGCGATGCACTCAACGACGATGCACTCAACGACGATGCACTCAACGACGATGCACTCAACGAAACAGACAAGAATGATGGCCATTCTTTGTACTGTGGCGGACTAGGAAGCTGGACGGACATAGAAGCTGGACAAACTTTTCTGGAATTTTAAGCGCACATATTCGTGCCTTCATCGCTCTAGATAACCTGTAGGCCTACATTGTCCCGTGCGATCTGTAAAAGTATTTTGTGTGATCCTTGTGAGTATTTTGTAGAAGATGGTGAAATGTTGTCGGAGATGGGGTTTGTGTGGCAATTTTGCCACATGCAGGGAGCTCGACAGACATGGACACCGCGACTCGCCTTTAATATCAGCGTATATGCTCGTAAAAATCTATGTGGGGTATATATGAGGACATGCCAGAAGTGATTCCAAATTATTCTGGCAGACCATGGTTGCCTACTTTTGCATGGGACATCTTTTGTTGAGGGGATCCTCTGGCTAAGGCACCACAAGAGGCTCCCATTTCGTGAGGCTCTAGCTCCAGCATCCATGATCTTCCTCATACAAAAAGTTTATGGTCTTGGAGCCCCAACAAAATAATTCTTCTGCCAAGGTCTGCTTGTTTTTAACAGACTGTTTGGCTTCTAGACGGCACGAATTTGTAGAAATGACCGATTTTGCACCTCTCAAACATCCGAATGAATTTTGAGCGCAGAACGTCGCGCAGCACCCCAGGAATATTTATGCAGATAGAATTATGTATATAGAAACGCTACGGGTACTTCTTGCTGTTGGTCTTCTAACGATTATGTGTACGAAATCGGCGGGCAAGGGGGTGTGGCGCCTTTTGGCATCTTTTTCGCCACTTATTCGGCAATAGCCGGGCCCTTTGGGCGCGCGTCCAGCTTCCCTGTTTTGCCACTTTCCCCACTCGTCGTCGCAAAATATTCATTGACGATGGTTTACTGCATCAAGCTCTCTAAATAGTTGTAAATATACTTAATAGATGTCGGACTACCTAAATGTGTCATTTAATTTGCAGGTCATAGACAGGACATTGATTAAATGAGCGAGAAAGCCCATCTGTCCAGGATCCTAGTCCGCCACAGTATCCTGAAACCGTGGTCGCGTTTCATCCCATTCTGCGAGCCCATTTCGATGTTCTTCTCCGTCACGTTCACCGATGGCAGTCCTTTCAAATCGTCCACGAGGACTGGGACCTCCTACATTCCTATCTCGCTACGTTTACCACCCTTTCTGCCCCTCAACTCACGCGTCTACTTCTCGCTCACTTTCACGTGTTCGTTGAATACGGCGGGCCTGTGCAGGATCCCGTAGGCCCTCTGCAACCTGTATTTGCTCGCAATATGCCACCTCCAATCTTGCAATTCGTCGTCGACGGCCTTCGCTTCTCATGGAGCCAGCTTAACGGCTGTAACCTCACCACCCTGATCCTCAGAGATAATACAAGCAATGTCAGCCCTTCGTTTCCAGAGCTACTTACCGTCCTCAAGGCATCGCCGAACCTTCTTGTGCTCGGCTTTCGAGTCTATCACCATCCAGAACCCCTTCCTAACACTTCGCGACCACGAATCACTCTCCTATCGCTGCAGAAACTGTGCCTCGGAGAAATCACGGTCGCTTTTGCCGAAGCATTGTTGAAGCATATCTTCGTCCCGAACTTGCGTACTCTGGAATTTCACCTCAACGGTGACGACTTCGATCCATTCATACGTACGCTCGCCACACCCTACAAGGACTACGGACGTTCCGCATTGCGGTCGGTACGAGGTTTGCGTATAGGCGACTTTAACGTTGGGCGTCGGGCCAGGCAGCACATGTGGCACGAACTTGACAACCTGCGGGTCATGATGACCGACTACACGTATGTCAGCCACCGCGATTACTTGCCTGAAATACTTGAATACACTCGGTCTCCACCAACATTCAAAGATAATCGAGACAATCCTTCCTCCATCATTCTACCGAGCCTTACAACTCTTTTCCTCGACGGGCCAGATCTCAAAAAACTCAAAGAGCTCATCGTCGCCCGGAGAGAAGTGGGCTATCCTATCCGGAGGGTCCTCATCCAGGCGCACTCAGTGCATATTGATGATGCAGAGTCCGCATGGCTGGCTCACAATGTTGATCTCTTCGCGCTTTTTGACAACCGTACGCGACGCTGCAATTGCATGGATCTCACTCTCGAACGCCTTGTGGAGGCCGATTTGGCCGCGGAGGAGGAAGGAGTTTCGTTCCTAGACGTCCTTTCGAAAACATACTAGGCATCTTCTGGTCAGTTCGAATATATGTTTCGTCAGTAGCCGCATTCTCATACTAAACAACTCCGCCCTATGACAGCCTTTCAACGTTTTGTCCGTCGTTTTGCTCCATAGTTTCGTTATATACGACACCTCGCACTGCCTCTCCTCGTGCCTGAGTCGCCGTCTGACTTTTTCGTAAAAGGCGTTCAACATTCCGACAACACTCTCGTATCCTCGATGACCCGTTTCATGTTGGCCTTTGGTAGAAGTAACACGGCGTTCCCGTTCACCGTTCCGCGGTACTTACCTACCGCTGGACTTTCTACATATTGCTATGCATCTATGCTGGACAAACGAGACAGTCGTCGAGCGTGCACAAGCTCATAATCATTTCTAAGAGGATCTTGATACCTATGCTTCGTAGAGTGGCGTATCTAGTTATCACCCACGGGACTATGTGCGAGACTGGCCAGTTCTGACGGGGTGTGCGCGACTGTTATGTCCGCAGGAATGCTTGTGACCCTCATAATTCTTCCCCGACGTTTACCGTGCCCTCAATAGATGACGTTGTCGATGGTATGCCGGACTCAGTTCCAAACCACTGCGATGATGTGACAGAGGTTTCGGCTTCGAGGGTCGGTGGTCTCGAGCCTCGGTTCGGTTTAACGGCCTGTGCCTTCCTCTACGGTATTCTTCACACGAATGCGGTTCGCAGTTCTGTAATACCGAACGCCTACATGGGGGATTTTTCCACAACTTTTCCCCGATGCGGCGAGTGAGAGCGAAAGAGACCGTCGTACCTCTCCGACTCGAGAACATAACGTTACGCGTGTTCCTCCCACACGGTCAGCGAACCTCTCCATTTGATGTGGTCGGAAAATTCCGTCGACGGAGTACGCCGCTTGAACGTACATCTTCTTTTGCTCGCACGGTCGGAATAACGAACCTGAAAAATGTAGTAAGTGCTTGAATCCTTCGTCCGAAGAGCGTGGACCCCACGGGCCTGCTCCTGACTGAACATATGCAGCGTGTGTACGTTCCTAGAATTTGAGCTCCGTAACAGACCATATATTAGGAGTTCCTTGTCTTTGTACTTCGGTATACGAGGCACGAGAGCGTCGGTATGTGACCAAGTATGCATCAATGGATCCTGGAGTCCTTTGCCAGTTCTTTGGTACGGAATATGCGGCGAACTGAACAACTATATCCGACAACCCGGCCATCTCCATGAATGACAGAGCTCGATGTCGAGTTACGGAACTGAGAGTTTTTGTCTCCACGGATCAGTGCCTGCGATCCGTAAAACTGCGGCTGCCCAGGAAATAACCGACGGGAGGTACGGAATCCATATATGGATTTGAATGAACACAGCGAATGTGTATGGTGCGTGAATCAGAAGGTCGGAAGTTCGCGTCGTGCGGCCATGGTGCTCACTGGTATCCCGAGGAGATGTGGTAATGGTATGGAGTACGGAACCGAGCGAGGTTGAAGCGAGGTCTCGGAGAAGTTCGCCGGCATGCCAGTGAAGCTTCGGTGTCTGGAGACCGCAAGGTTCCAGCTTGGTTCTTACTGACAGGTTTTACGGTCTCAACGTCGGTTGCATCCGTTACTACCAGGCTCAAAGCTGTCTCATTCTGCGAACGACTATCCGCCGAAGGAAACAAGCGAAAGTTGAGAACATGACAAGGATATGGAATAGTACCTGACAAGTCAGCAGAAGACAGTTCTAGGCATCCGCACAAAGCCAGCAGCGACAAGTTGTCCACAGTACATATCGGTTTCAGCTTAAGCATTCTAAAGCATTCGGACCGACAACCCAGAAAGAAACATGCTGAGGGCAGCGTCTGTCGTGCTGTCGCAACAGAGCTACATGCAATAGGTATAAACCTCAACCAGTGGAACCCCCGAGGTCGCAAACACCGGACTGGAAGCGTCTTATCACCTATCAGCCTTCATCCTTCAGGCTGCGGTCCACTACCACAATATAAATCACAGGCAATAGACGCGCCAAGAATGTCCAACTCCTTCAGCAGAAGCTGGGAAACAAGAAACTAGGCGAAGTAGGTATAGTATCGCCTTGAGGCACGCAAATCGGCGCGGTTGAGTGAAGGAGGTCGCCATGATTCAGCGAGGAATTGGCGAGCAAGTACTCAATGGTGCGGCAGCGCCATGGATTAACAATCTTTCGGGCGCACCGGTACCTTTAACCGCTAGCTATATAGGTGGCTAGGCTATGGTGCAATTCAGCATAGTCTGGCATACGCTTCGAGCGTCATTGAGGTGAAACGACTACCGGAATGTGGTAGGAGATACCCGACCGCTGGATCAAAAACATTCGGCTAAGCCTGTAGTGAACACACCTCGACGTGGTAAAATCACCTTCCCGTTCTCAATGGAATAGACGGGTATGGATGATTTAGAAGGCAGAAAAAAACCCACGTTCATTATACCAGGAACACGATTGATGTCGTTAGATACGTATGACCCACGACTGACAGTTCATTAAGACGACGGCCAGTGCCACGAGCATCGCGGCCTGAGTGAGATCGTCAGCTGTCAAGTCTTCCATCAGGCCAGGAACTCACCGTAAAGCAACACGTCGCAAGCGTACCATGGGAGTTAGAACGTTAGCGTTCGGAGCTTTCCACCAGCGTCATCGGGTTTTTCCTCGCCTGTGGCTGCTTGGTAGAGTACACAAGGGACACCTTGATCGTACCTGTACACGCACATCTGAAGAGTGAATTCATGTTGAGTGTTGCATGAGCCATGGAGAAGGAAACATCGCGTTATACATATGGGGAAACATAGACGGCAACTGCCAATTACTCAATTGTTCGGAATCTTGCACCAAACGACGGTCTAACCGTCTTGAGGAGCATACACTCAAGCTCTCCGGTGCGCTTCCGAAATCTTGAGATCGGGAGTTTTTCGAGATCCATCCGTGTGTATGTACGTGCGTGCGTTTATGGGCGTCTGTGGGCTTCGCTTGAATGGAAGGATAGTCAACGTAAAGAGGCGTGGGTAGTGGAGTACCTTGGATACCCCTTGGGCGGACGAGAAAGGTCAAGCTGAAAGAGCGACAGGTGGCTATGTAGATGTCGTGAATTTCCTGCCTGGATGAAAAGAAACGATAAGTCGTCAGAGCGGTCGACTTCTAAGCCGTGAAGGACAAAGAAACATAATGGACGAAAAGAAAGAAGAGAAACCTCAGCTGCCTCGGCCTTTATTCCAGAAACGTACGTATCTGAAAGTCCAGGCTGAATCATTGTAAACGCCGTCAAAGTACAATGGAAGTACAAACGTATGATGGAGCGGTGCGGCGAGAAGGTTGCCCTGCTCAACGGTGATTAAAGTCGCCAATAATAGCAGTACTAGTGACGCGGCGTCCTCCAGGTCCTTCGGTTAAGCTGTCAAAGCGCAATGAGCCTCCATCGGATGTAAAGGGAGGTGAACGCACACAGAGGCAGAGAAAAAGGTAGAGGTAAAGGTTCGGAGCTTATGCGTTCGTGAGGACTTGGGCATGAGCGAACATGTGAGCGACCTCAAATGGGCCTCACTGCACCATCAAACATCCGTAATGTCGTCTCAACAGCCCGGAGCCTATGTGGAGGGACAGAAAAGAATCACGAGTAGCATTATCGTCAAGAAAGAGGGACCGCTTACCGGAGAACATCATTAAAACACAAATATAGACGATTGAACGGATAGCGACGGCATCCAGACAGCGTGCCAGAACGAACCTCAGGCCACAGGGTCGAAAGCTTGTCTGACTTCAATACAAATTGGATCTGCCGGAGATGTAAACGGGACAGTGACAGGCGGACAACCCAACATGAAAATCGTTCCAAGCGGCGCTGACCGTCGAAAATGATCCACCGTGGCGCTGTCATCGAAGCTTTGATACGCACCCCGTGGCGCGGTCGACGAGATTGAAGACCGGCTTGATAAAAACGGAGTGGGATGTTTACCTGACTTGGGATGCTGTAAGAAGGAAGGAGAGATGGATGTATGGGAGTCGCTGTCGTGGCTGGAGGTTCAGGGTAACGAGCTGTGCATAAGTACGTGGGCGCCGCCGATTGCGCACAAGGCGGGTTGTGAGACGTAGGCGGTGGTAAGTCGGGTAGAGAGCATCATGGGGTGAAGATTGGGGGATAACGCGATTGATGGAGCAAGAAGAGAGTGGGAGGGGCTGGGTCTGCTCAAAGCCCAGGCCAGTCGAGGTTCTGCATTGTGGCGTCGATGTGTTGATGTATTGGCGGCAGACACGAGATTCAAGTAGCTGCCTTACTGTCACACAGGGAAATACCGATAGAAAAAACGAGAATGACGGTATAAATGACAGCAAGAGCGTAGTAAGTCCTACGCTAAGGACAGAGACAAGGTAGAGCTTTCGGTGCACAAGTATCGGGGGAGCCTCAGCGCACACAAAAAACGAAGATTAAAGGGAGGCCTCAGGCCGGGTTTGTGTTCGTGTTGACGGGATTAGTTGACGATAGAGCAAGGTAGGGATGCAGTTCATCGCTATGAGGATGAACCGTCCATCCAACCATAGACAAAGGCTAGTGCGCGTGCGGTCACACGAAGGACACATGGAGGCTTGTGCTCAATGCTCGTGGATCTGGAATGATGTACGGAGGATCAATACAGGAGAATCTACGCGTGCGGAAGATACCGTTCGTAGAAGGATCGACTCACCATGGAACACTCCGAGAGTTGAAAGATTCCTCCTTCTTCGTCGAAGGCAGAGTCTCAGTCTATCTCCAGGAGTTTTCCGAGGATATGAGATCGCGGACGTATCATAACTCGCAAGTAGTACGAAACCACCGTCTCATCTCAGGATCCTAGGCCAGATACGTCGGACACTCGCAACCTCCCGGTTCCCCGTGGATGTAACACGAAGGTAACACTGCAACCCTGCATACCAGTGCATGGACATCACCGCACGTACATAGCCTCTGTACTTACGATTCTGAACAGAGAGGAGTCATCCCACCATAGCCCGAAAATGAACGTCGCTGTGGTGGACGACGAGCCTTAGAGCGAGGATCTCGGGAGATTGCAGAGAAAATTCACCGTACGAGGTCCGTTCCCGGTGTCACTACTTAGTCTAGTTCGTGGATCTGGAATACTTAGAATGACGCATGGAGGATCAGTAGGCAAGGAAAATCCCCACGTGCGGATGAATGACTTTCGGAGAAAGGATCGCCTAGGCATGGAACACTCCGAAAGCTGGGAGATTCAACTTCGCGCGTTCGCGTTGTCGAAGGCAGAGTCTGTTTGCTGGGTTTTCCCGAGGATGCTGGAAAGAGGGAAACCGAAGATTCCTTTCCTTTCGAAGGTACGGTCGTGTGACCCCGACATGGCTCAGCGGAATCCAGTGTAGTTTCAAACGTGAGATTCCGGTCATAACATAATTCGCAAACAAGAAACCGTCGTCGAGTCCCAGGCTCGACTCGCAATTTAAACCGTCCGGTTCCCCGTGTGGATGTTACAAGCAAGCAACTTTGCCTGTCGGTGATCACCGTACATACATAGCCTCCTCTACAATTGTGATGTGAAGCGAGGGGAGTCATCCCGCCATCATCCGCAGATGAAATGTCACTGTCGCTATGGATCAGTCGAGGAAAATCCGCAAGATGACGGTCGGAGAAAGGATCGCCTATGATTGACATAACCAGCTATGGAACACTCCGAGACTCGTTACAAGATTCAACTTCGTCTCCTTCTTTCAACCATCCTCGGAAATTGCCTTTGACGAACGTACGAACCTTCGTACGGTCGTCAAACGGTCATGTAACTCCGACATGATTCAGACGCAGCGGCATTCGATTCCGGGGGTATCCAAGCGTTAGCGTTACATACGCGGTCGTAACTCGCAAGTAAGAAACCGCCGTCGACTCGCAACTGTCCGGTTCCCCGTGGATGTAAGAGGCAAGCTTTCACTGCATCTCGGACATCACCGTACGGCGTACGGTGTACATAGCCTATGCGAGTCACCCCGAGAATCCGCATGAACGTCTCTGGGACGACGACCGAACGACATCGGAAACTCGGAATCAGATAGACATCACATGAAATGGCCTATGAAAGCGAGGCGAGTCACCCCGCGAAAATCCGCAAAGCGACGAGTCGACATGTACATCTCGGAAGTTTGCATAGACTCTAATTCTGAAGCGGAAACTCACCTTTGATTCTCTCCAAGATCGCAAACCATCAAAGCGTTTAGCAACTTGAAGGCCACCCCGAAGCCACTCGGAACTCTCCTCTGAGCCTGAGCCACTTGATTCTTGAAGCCTTCTCATCTTCACCCGCCATCGCCACTTGAGCGTAACTCACAAACTTGAAGCTTCCTTCGGAGAAGTCCTATCCTTGTTCAATTGCAAGTTCTTGTCGGCGGAGTGGCAGTTTGGTGGCAGTACTAGTGGCGGAGTGGCTCTCGGGAGACTCCGCCCGAAGTTCGCTTTGTCTTCCTTGTTTCCCGATGCCAGCGTTCTCTACATAGACGGGAGAAAGTCCGAAGGGGGACTTGGAAGAGGAGGAAGAGAGGAAGATGGATCGGGTGGAAAATGCCGGGACGGGATCGCGCAACGGAAAATGAAAGTGAATCTGCGATGGCAGATGCTATGGGCGCTCGGGAGATGCCACGGACCATCGACCATCCAACTTCCAATGTTCCAAGGCCTCGAGCTCCCCTCTCTTCGGCTTTCCTCGAGTCGTATCGCAGCCCACCGACTGAGTTGTCCCATACAGCATCGTCCAACCAATGAAGATTAGAGCCAAACGTTCGAACCATGCATAATGTTCTTGCCTCAACCTCCTCACTCGAGCGAGATTCTCCCAGGCCGTCGAGTGCGAACCCGGCCCTTTTCTGATCTGAAATCTGAAAGGATCCTTCGTTCGGCCCTGCAGGGCATGTAGATACTTACGGAATGGTGGGGTTTCGGAATTCGGGGATTGGCGACTGGCGATTGGCGAGGAGCTCGAGAAGCATGCCTGCCTGCCACAGGAGATGTGCGAAGGGGCGATCGTTCGAGCCTTGTCTATGATGGATGATCGAATGGAGAGAGCGGCAGTGTGCGTGTGTGGGGTGGCATACCTATGCGGGATGGTTTGGTTAAGGGCTGGCAAGGAGGTGGAGGCCAAGGACTGGGTGATCAGGATCAGCATACTGAAGGAAGGAGGACTTTCGCCGAGTGTTGGGCAGAGTCTAAGGCGAGAGGTGCTGGCTTATTTATGGGCGGGTTATAGATTCTTGCTATTCCTATTCTCTCCCCCGAGCAACTCCTCTTCGTCCTCTTCCTGTTACAGTCTGCTCGACGCTCCGACCAATCATCTACTGTCCTCTGTCAGTCTTGAACTTGAGCATGGGTAATCCTGACGTTTATGTACGTCCTCTTCTCCTCGCCACACACTATCCACTGCCCGCCTCTACGACACCATCCCCACCCCCGGTCCATCCTCCCTCGTCAACCAATTAGCTGACCACCTTTGCACGCATCCACAGTTAGACATCACCGTGGACGGCCACCCACTAGGTCGCATTGTCCTCCATCTCTTCGACTCCGTGGCGCCCGCCACAGCACGTAACTTCCGTGAACTCTGCACGGGCGAACATGGGTTCGGATACAAGGACTCTGCGATACACCGTATTAACCCCCAGGCACGTCTCGCTATACTCCCTGCCACATCTATTCTTCCTCGACGCTCCCTGTTCATGAAGCTCCGTGTGATGTTCCATACGCTGACTGTGTGTGGTCTTTCAATCCTTCGCCTTTGCCGTGAAGTGCAGTTCATGATCCAGGGCGGAGATATCACAAACGGAGACGGAACAGGAGGGAGATCTATATACGGGTCTTCCTTTCCCGGTACGTTTCGTTTCGTTTTCTCTCTCAACGCCTTCGTTTCGTTTTCTCTTCCGACGCCTTCGTTCCTCGGTCTTCGCTTTTTACTTCCTCTTCTACTTTCACGCCTCTGTTTGTCCTTCTGTGTTCTGTCTTTTATTGCTCTTCTGGGCTTCTGGGCTTCCATGTGCAACCTTTGCACCACTGCATCTTTGCCTTCAATTATTGTTTGCGCCCTCTTGTCCCCCTTCGCTCGTTCTCGTTCTCGAATGGCAATGTGGTCATACCCATGCCCATCTCGCTTCGAACGAAACCCTCTCATCTCCGCCCTCGCTTGGCTTTTTTTCTCGCTATGACTATGATACGGCATGCCACGAACACGCTCGCAAGGGTGTGATGAGCGGGTATTAGGTGTCGCGTGCCCGTGTGGTGTGGCGTGGCGTGGTGTGGTTGTGGTGTGTGGTGTGCCCTGATGGAATGAGGTGAGAGTGAGGGTGATGCGACTGCGAAGGTTCTTCTCTGTGTCGTGTCGTCGTACGACATCCATCGAGCCTCGGCGCATCAGAACCACAGTCCACGAGAGAGTCTTTTGGTTGGATTTGCTTCCGACGTGTGTTTCGTGCGTTCGTGTGTTCGTGCGTCGTTACGTCAGTTCTGCGTGGGTTGCCGCAGAGAGTGCGCAGGGGCATTACCCTTTCCAGCTGTGCCTCTAACTCTGAATCGAGGCGGATCTCAGGACGTACTTACGTATGCGCTTGAGTGAGGTGTTCGGAGGTCCGAGGCGATTCTGTTTCGGAAGAGAAGGGACTGGAAGGATTGTGTGTTGGTGTCGGTGATGCGTGCGTTCTTTCTGTCTTTGAGTGGTCGCCTTGACGGAGAAAAGGAATAGAGGATCAAGAGAGGATCACTCTCCCCTCCTGCTTCCCTCGACATTTATCGTGACACTGACGGCCTCCATCCGTCTCTATTTCGACTTTTATTTTCGTTTTATTTTTACCCCTATTCCATTCAACAAACCTCACCTCACCGAACCGAACGCTGACCTCCTCCGTTTTTATTTCACTCTATCCATCCTCCTCCTCCTCCTCCTCCTCCTGGTTTCTTACGGCCTCTTTCGTTCCTCTACAACCCCGGCCTCCGACCTCCGTACTCGTCCACGCGTCCACATTTCACGATCCGACTCCATTCATGGTCGCCTGTGTCATATTCCGAATACGAATGGGTCATCCGACCATCGACCACGGATTATGTATTATGTCTTGCGCTACTAACATCTCGACCACGACCACGACCACGACCACGACGCGATGGATTTTTACACTCCGCCCACCACCTGGATTTTCCAAAAATTTTCAACCATTGGACCGACTGCCACCGAACTATTTAACACCACATTTCGTGCTCTGCCCACCACCACACCACACCACATCGACCTCGACCAAATCCAAATCCCTGAATCACCCGACTGCCATACAATCCTGTGCTATCATATCGTATCGTATCCACGACTTGACGGGCAATCGACACCGTTCCTCCCTCCATCCATCCTATCCGACCGTACCGATACGTTTGACGCTAATCCCATTCCCAATATCGATATCGCATATATGCTGCACCCCTGGCGTTTCGTACCCCTTGGGCTGCGTTCGACTCCGACATCTACACTATCGTTTCTTGGGTCTGGGTCATCCGTGGTCGTGCTGGATATCTGGCTATGCGAACGACCGACGAACAGACGAGTCGTTCGAAGTCCGACATGATCGGCCGGGGCTGCTTTCGATGGGGAGTCGGGGTCCGGGGACGAATAGCTCACAGGTGAGTTGTTGTTAGTTGGTGTCTTTCCTTCCTATTCTTCGTCGTTTTTCGTTGGCTAGAATATGTCGTGTCCATCGCTCCCGCGGAGCCGAGAAAGCTCGCTCATCTCGATGCGGCGTTCTACCTTCCTTCCGGATCACCAAATGCCGACTCTCTGAGTTCGGTGTCGGCGTTCAGATTCAGAACTGCGATGCATGCGATGCAAAGTGGTCGAAGTCGGCTCCGGGTTTTCCGCGGATTTGTGTACGCATGCATGTGTTGTGGCGAGGACGAGGCAGGGGAGCTCGTTGCGACGATTCGCCCATTGACACCTGGGCTTTGTTCTCTCTGTGTCGTTCTGTGTCGTGTCGTGTTGTAGCGTTTATGGTCATATACTCGTATGTCCGCGGACGACGAGCCATGACATGACGGGACCGATGCTGGTTCGGGTATCATGGTTCACCTTGTTTATTTGCGTTTTGAGTTCGGATGTTTGGACGAGTTGAGGATTTGGTGGTTAGCTTGGTTGGTCGAATCGGATGTGTTGGAGGGGAGGGTTCTATTTCTATTTCTGTTTCTGTTTAGTCCTCGTTCGGGCCTGTCGTGTGTTTCTATGTTTATTCGCTGTCCTTTCGCTTTTTGGTCTCTGTATCATTGTCTCATCATACTAACCACCAGTCCCTTTCTCCCTATATCACTCTCCCCATCCCCTCACCCTCCTCACCCTCCCGCGCCTTATCTCCCAACCACACCGACCCTAGTTCTTCATAACCACCTCCCCAGCCCCCTGGTGCGACGACAAACACGTCGTCTTCGGCCAGGTCGTAGATGCGGAGAGTATGGAGACCGTGAAGCGGATACAGAGCTATTCGAGCGATCATATTTGGAGGAGACCGAGTCGGGATGTGAGGATTGTGAGGTGTGGGGTTATGTGAGAAATGCGGGATGGGTTGGAGTATGTGGTGACAAAAAGTACCTCGCGCCGTGCGCGGCTCTTCATCTCAGTGTCTCAGCTTGTTCCCCTATTTTATTCGTGCTTTGTGTTCGAGGACTCTGTGCATAGATTGTTCTGTTGACAGTGTCGTCGTGCATTGAACGTCCTGACATTTCCCATCCATGACTTATTGTATCTTATCCCAGCACTTATTGCGCATTCTCTGCGTCCTTGTTGATATATCTTCTCTCTCTTTTCTTTCGTTTTTTTTTGTCCTTCTCCTTCCTTCGCACTCAGCTCGGGCTGTTCCTGCATCATGTTCGTTCGCTCTGCTAGCCTAACAATTCACCTCGGTTCCTCCATTTGCACCGAGCTCTGAATCATGTATTTATTTGTCTGTGTCTCAGTCTCGCGTCAATTGGACATTGCTATCCTCGTATCGAACTTCCTCAATCCATTGACAGCTTGGACTCGAACATCGTCACTCATACATTATCTATTGCTTTCCTCACTCTCCTCTCGTCGTTGTGTCTGAGCGCGAAGAGCCTGAGTGTATGCATGTGTTTCTCTGTCGATCTCCAACACTCCATGCTCTTACTGAACCACACCTTGCCTCGAGCTACTCTCCCAGATACTTGACTGCCGGTTAACTCCCTCGTGATGTTTGAGTCCGATGCGCAGAGCCTACATGTATCATAAGTAATAGCGCATGCAACTCCATTATGTGGTTATAACTTTCTGTGGTAGGTCCTTCCGTCCGACGCCCATCAATATAGAGAATGACGAAGAAATTCCTCGCCAATTGATGGCGGAAGTCCTTCCCCCGCAAACGACGAAGAAACTCCTCGGCAAATGGCGGGGCGGGGAACCATGATATCCTCGACAAACGACGATTCAGAAAGATTTCCTGTTGGTTATAATTAGTACGGTGGTTTCATTGTTTCATCCGCCCTCGCTCAGGCCACTGATTCCACATCTCACATCGCTCAAGCCGCTCAGGCTAAGTTAGTCTAAGCACTGTGTCGGAAGTCCACCCTGCCTGTGGTCCACGATACAACAACCATCGAATAGTTTGATCCTGATCCTAGACCAGACTCGAGGGACTCGAAGCCGGCGGCACAACTCAAACCTTGTGTTAAACTTACAGTCTCCTTCCTCTGAATCTAGCCACGGGTTTCACGGAATATTTAATTCTATATTGGTACAGCGCGGGTGGAAAAGCGTCAGTGAGTTTCAGATTCTGAGGGTACGGAGGAGCGAGAGTCTAATAGGGTAGCGAGCCCCAGCTTGAGTGACTGTGGTGTTAAGGAAATATCACCGGTTGGGGTTGAGTCTTACGGAGTGGGACGAGGAGCTCGATCTGCTCGCGAATAGGCGTAGAACAGGGGGAGGGAAGGAGAAGCATGGTGTCAGGAATATATTCGGAGACTGGTATGGTAGGTTATATTTTAGATGAGTGTAGGATCGGGAACGGGAGGTGGTTTGCATATGTGCTGCCTTGACAACTAGTATAATATGAAGGTATTGATATTAGAGGAGAAGGGAACATACCGACGGTGGTACGAGGAAGAAACACGGAGTAGAGTAGACCGAAGACTTGAATTGAAACAATCAGACACTGGCAGGCAGGTCAGTGTCACTGCGCCCTTCAGAGTCACTTGGAGTGCTCTGTTCCACTGGGCTCGACTCTTCCTGCAGCTTCTTCCATTCGAGTATGCTCATGCCCCAAGGACGTTCGTCCTTCACGACTACAGAAATATATTCATCAGCATCCACTCGACGTATGCATATAAAAGAGGAACATACCGATCGGCTTCTCCTCAGATTCTCCGTCTTCGACGAGAGCAGGCGCAGGCTCAGGGACAGGTACTGGCCCCCAAACAGTATAAGGCCCAAGCTTATGAAAAGACGGAGGGAGCTTCAGTGCCCTTTTCTCGAGCTCCTCATGTGTCAAGGGGGTGCTTTGTCGCTCGAGACACTGGTAGTAGTCATAGGTCTCGGTCGGGGAACTAGAACTAGAACTCTCATTGTCGGGGCCAATGGCTAAGATCTCGGCAGGGGAAAAGAAGCGGGGAGTGAACGAGGGGTGATTTTCTGTGGCGGCGTTCTCGTTCGTGCCGGGGTTGGGGATGGTGAGGTCGCTCAAGGGAATAGTAGTCCCTGTCAAAGGGTTGGTGACGTAGGTCGTCTGTCCGGACATGTCGATTGAGAAATCGATGGCGTAGACAAGAGGGATAGTTTACTATGGAAAGCGAGGACGAGGCTCAGAGTCGAGGTGGTTGATGTGAATCGGTGGAGTAGGAGGAAGGAGCAGGATACCAGAGCATTTTATATCGATTCCGCAATTGCACGGCACACGTCCTGCCCTTTGTTCAAAAAGACGCAGACACGAGTGGCACTGGAACCATGCCTACGACTTATGTACGTAAACGGTGACGAATGCCCGTTGGCACGTCGCAGAACAAAGAGAAAGACAAAGCCGGGCAGCGGAGTGCCAACGGTTGTGTGACACAGAACGTGGCACTCGTCATCCTAGCAACGACGGAAGCTACGTCATACCCGGCACTTACAGTGCACGCGCTATACGCAGTAGATCTCTAGAATTACAGGTGGGAGGGTGGGAAGGGCTCAAGACACGCGCCACACTTTTGCGCAACAAGCGCACGAGGCTGTCGATCAGATCGCCACCGAATAGGTTCAAAACAGGAGTCTGAGTTCCAGTGGTAAATGCCCATAGCAGAATACCAAAGGCCATCCGACAAGGTATCGCAAGAATACGGCGAGTAGCGAGGACGAGATAGCAACGGGTCATCGGGGGTGAGTGGCACACATGTTTGTGGCCCGGCTGAGTGTGAGCTGTGTCTAAGGCGTAAACAATAGTCAGTTTCAACAAGAACTCCCCACATAAGGAACATAAAGTACTCAAGTAAACAACGACGGGCTTGTGCAGAGAAACAACACTTACGCTCGTTCTAGTTATTTTGTGAACACCTATATGATGGCGAATCAGTCGGTGAGTCGATCCTCAAGTTAGAGCTCGAGGATAAACCAATACCTGGAAACGTTTTCCTGTAGTCAGTTTCGATCGTGGATCGCCGTGTTATCCCGCAGCTGCAAAAGTCGTCTGAAATGTAGAAGGTCAGTGAGTAGATGTCACACCACAATGTTGGTACTCGATCACGTTTCTCTAGTGATCTCGAAGCTATGTTCGAGGACCAGAGGAACAACAGTCAACAGGCTTGCTAGCCGGAATGAGGCTTTTAGTTAGACACGACATTTGGGTCCGAGTCTTGGCTTCCACAACTTATACAGGAGAGCAGGACGGGAATCTGGAGAGAGGCATTTTCTTTGAGAAGAAAGGCAGTGGCGTCAAAGTAATGACGAGAAGGAGGACAAGCCAAATGAGTCTATGAATTCTTGTAATCAAGCGGCTATCGAAGGTGGAGAGATGGTAGTCCTTGATAGGAGGCCAGTGGCGGTGGACTACTTGACCTACAGGTCTTGCCAAACGACATACGACACAAAAACACGAGGCATAGACCGAGAGAGCAGCTGCACAAAGGTTGATGGAATATGTCCGCTGTCGTGGCCGATGTAGCCTGCACCTGAGAAGGGTTTCACTCGGCAGTAAGTTTGTCGCGAGTGTGGCGTTCAGCATCTTGACCAGAGATGGAATAAGGCACAGAATGCTGTGGAACGAGGCACCCATGTGAAGTTCTTGAATGTTGATCCTCAGCGGCTGTTGAGCGTTGTTAGCCATGGTTCAGAACGGGAGAATGTCGGAGGAGTGAAACGTGCGAATGTCAGAACCTACTACATAGTTCTCTGGGTCGTGGGTGGCGGTTGGGTTCAGGAAGGCGTGAGTGTCATCGAAATAAGCTTACTACAGCCAATACCGGGGTGAATCGCACCCTCTGTTTGTAGTACATGAGGCGAGTGCTGTGAGACACAATATTTTTGGGATGCTCCAGGTGCTTGGCTTTTCAGCATCAGACGCCGGTCTGAGAAGCCGAAAATAGATCGAAGGTAGGCTAGCTAAGAGGATAGAGATAATCCCTGATATGCCGATGCATCGAAGGCCTAAACCATGAATATTTATCACACCAAACCTTTTGTGTAGGTAAACCATCTCCATGGACTTCGACGCAGGTGCTTACTTCGAGGCTTGGATGTCTCGTGGATCCGTCTCTTCGACATAAGATTGATGGCGAAGGTACACACGTAATGAATAGCAAGGTAAGCGAAAAACTATGCGCTGAACATCAGAAATTAATCCAGTCAACAGTCCGATTATGACCACGAACCTGACTCTGGAGCGAAACACCTCAGAGGAGGCAATGAACTGAAGAAAAAATGAAGACGAGAATTAGGATGAATACGAAAGAAGGAGATGGGCGTAACTCGCCACACTGATACAATCCAGAAAAGACCTCCAAGAAAGAGACACCCTCCGTTTCTGCAGCCAGATCAGCTTCCAACACCGTTTCGAGTAGAGTATCAATTGTGTGCGTGGCATAAGAGGATCCGGACGGACGAAACGTGGCGAAGGCTTCGACGTTGTGAGCAAGCCAGTCAACGTCCAACTCGGATAGGGAATGATGATCCAGTCTATCTGAATCAGGAGCCTCTTGATGGGGGCACCGACTGCACGCCGTATAGTGATCAACTCCTTGAGTTCGTCTATATCCGGATTGAACGGATCGGATAGAACGAGAGTGCTCAAGCGGGGGATGCATATCGCGGGAGTGTGATCGGATTGGGAAGCGAGTGAGAGTGACGAACGAGTGAGTCGGACGATGCTGGGTAGAAATCGGTAGTACGAACGACTCAGGGCCCGCTCGATCACCAAGACCCGAAGACTGTCGAAATCATGGTACATTTCTTCTGCAGGGTCGGGATCCGTCCGTAGCAGTATTATTGCGTCAACTCTTAACGCCTCAACCGACCGCAACACTGATCTACCGGAGTGGATGTATGGTACGGACAAAGTCTCTATGAGGGCATCGAAAAACCCATTGGTGAACCCGAGCCTTACTATGCGCATGCTTGGCGCCACGATTTGTTTCAGAAGGGAGTGGGCAAAGACTGGCCGGACATCTTCGAGGAAAAGCTGCTCGAGTGAAGGTGGATAAATTCGTTTGGTCGAGTCTAGAAGGGGGTCGTGAAAGCCCTCACAAACGAGAATATGGAGGGTTCGAATGTTGGGAGAATGCTCGAGTATGGATATGATGTCCTGGAACGGCGTGTTGAGGCTGTCCTTTTGTTCTCGGATGAAGAGATGTGTAAGAATATGACCTGAAAGTGGCGCCAACCCAAGATGTACGCCATCGATAACACAATATGAGATGGATGGAACGCCGTCGTGCGCGAACACCGGACCCAACGGCTCCGGCACAGGCGTCCGGCCTCGAGGTTCTCCAGAGTGCAAGACGCGGCAGTACGACAGCCATAAGGCAGTGCGCTGGGGAGCAGTGAATCCAGAGAACCACGCAACGTTCGACTGAAGCAGGTTCCAGTCTTCAAGAACGAGCTGAAATGCTCTCCATCTCGCGACCTGTCCAAGAACAATTTCGAGTCGTGTATGCAAGGTGGGACGGTATTCGCAAACGATTTTCTCCCAGAGCGCGGTTCGTCCGTCGCTATGGGTGAACTTCAACTCTTCCGTGGCCGGATACCACCATATCGTGATGTCAAGAGGGAGACTGCCAGAGCGTTCCAAGTAGAGACTGATGCTCGCGGAGTCGTTCAGTCGACGATGAGAAATTTGAATGGTCGTCCACAATTGTTGTGAGGATAGCTGTCTGTCTCCAAGATCTGCACACATGTGAGACTTTGATCGGGAGACCGGAGGCGAGAGTAGAGATACTGTCAGAGGGAAAGACCCGAGGCCCTTGCGCAAGCAAGAAAATGTCGGACAAGACCTCGGGCGGGATGCGATCGATTGAGCATACGTGTGGACTGGCGGGACAGCCTGAGAGGACTTCCCTTTGTTTCTGTAGTAAGAAGACTGTTAAGACCCTAGGCTTTGACATCGTGTCGACAATCTGTATCTTGTGTTGGTGGATGAGAAATCGGAGATATGGGGGGAGATCAGTAATGAACTTCGCTTTTGATCAATATAAGTATGGGCGTGTTATGGAAGGGCAGAAACAATACCTGCCAATATCAAAGGCGCCTGTCTGTCCGAAATATGCTAACAGTCGGCTGGATAGCCTTCTATGATTTAAGCCTAGAGTGAGACTACGGATTGCGTTCGGGAGGAGGACATGGCGACTCAGAGCAGACAGTCATTCAAAGATGAAATCGATGGAAAAGACTCGCGTGCGATGAGCATTCCCACGAGGTTTGCCACAGTGGCACCAAAACAAACACCGGTGCGCATGACTGAGGCCAAAAACGCAGAGCAATATTTTTGTTAGGTAAATAACGCGTATGGAATGTATCGGGGATGAGATAGATGCTACGTTTCGTGAGGGCATGGTATGGGACAAGCTGGGAATGAAATGGTTCTGTGCTGACCCTAACCCTACGTCTACAGGTTCACACTCCGCCTACTGCGGCTAAACTCTCTCCTTATAACTTACCTCCACTATCCAAATTCGATTTCACCGCAACATGGCCTCCTACAGAATATCTCTAGGTTGCACGGTACGTTCTCTGTCCTTATATAATGTTTTTATATTATATGTGATATGCATCGCATATCAATGCTAATCATCGTATCCTGCAGCACGAAGAGCTCCTACGTCGCCTGAGAGACTCGGTAGATCTCCCCACTATCGAGTCCCGGATCGACCAGGATCAGTTTGTTCCACAACATCACATCGGACCAAGCGGTCAAGCTGCCATTCTCCTCGGTACCGATGGTGCAGACGGGATTAGCTTGAATAGAGTGGCTACATCTCGTCTTGTGCTTCGTACTATGCCTTGGGGCATGGTCGCCCAGCAGAAGGTCAAGCACCAGATCAAAGATGTCACGACCTACCTCACTGGCGCAGAAATGTTAAGGAAGAATTCAATGAGATGGAAAAGCATAAAGGGTTCAAAGCGCTGTGCTGTAGTCTGCCTAGGGTGCGTCTCCCCCTCATATTTGGATCTTTTTGATGCTGCAAGACTGACTTTCCGCCTTATTACCCCAGGTACCATTTCTGGCATCATACTGCACCGCCAAGCACCTCCAAGGTCCCTTACTTTGTTCGTTTCGACGACAACCGACTCATGTTCCTCGCCGGTCTGTATGACGAGTGTTCGAGAGCCGATGATCCTTTGGACATCACATCCCGTTTTGCGCTCGTGACTACCAAGGCCAACGCAGAGATGAAATGGCTCACGGATCGACAGCCTGTTATACTCTCTACAGCAGCAGATGTAAACGCTTGGCTCGATGTCTCCTCTGGTCTCTCGTTTCCGCAGCTACATCACCTTTTTGAACCACATGACCAGAGTGACCTGGAGAAGAAGTTGACATGGTACGTATTTCCCTCTCCTCTACACTACGAACCTGAAATACTGCTACTCGTTATACTAGGTACCAGGTGCCGAAGGAACTCGGTGACTCACGCAAGGACTCCCGCGAGCTCACACTGCCTGTCCATAATCGTCCTGATGGGATAGAGACCGTGATTGCATCGATAGTTCCCGATATCGAGGAAGTGCAGCCTCCGCAGGCCAGCGGGTCGACGGTGGTGTCCTCGTCGCAGCCCGGGACGGCCACCCAGATCGCGTCCTCGTCGTCTCAGGCTATCGCCACGGCATCGTCGTCAACCCAGGCTACGCCGTCGCAGCCTGCAACCTCCATTCCGGCTTCTCAAGGGATTCGTCCTACCCGTGCGCATGCCAGACCCAAGGTGGAGGGTGGCGTAGTAAGTCCTCGTATATTGCTGTCTCATTGGCGTTAACTTAGTGCTTCGATTTTGTGCAGGAAAAGCGCCGGGCTGCCAAAGCCAAGAAATTCAAAGGCGAACCAGTGCCGCCGGAGGGAAAGCTTGACCATTACTTCAATGGTCGAAGTCAGTGAGAAGTGCTCTCGCAAGTGAGTCTTCCTTCGCTCGTGTTGGTTTGATTATTGTACCGTACCTCTTATCCAGTGGGGTCCACTCTAGGCCTGGAGCGCGGTATACGTTGAAGCTCTCGCTGGTTCGAGAGCGGTATCGTTCGTGTGTGGGTGTTCGGAGTGGTGGTGGGGCTCGCCGACCGGTCTGAGGGATGTGATAGACAGTAGGACATTGTGAATATATGCTTATGTATATAGTATTTATGGAAAATCATAAAAAACAGTATGGAACGTACAATACTGTACCTCCCAGACGTTAGGCGACGTCCGGTGTCCCAAGGGGCCCATCGCCCCCGCCAATTTTGCGCGGGTCTCCCGCCAAATGGGAGTTCCCACGTTATGTAAGCGTCGTCTAACTGCTGGGACGTACAGTAAGGGGGGTTGTAGAGGGCCGAGCATCGCCGTGAACCGTAATCAAAGGATGAAGACTCTGCGACTTTGGTGCGATTCTAGGTATAGAGTACGTATCATAGTTCCATCATATCACGAAAAGCGTCCATGAAGCAAGTATCATTCCCCGACGCCATCTCGACCTCCACGTCGAACAACAAGTCCAAAGAGGTCCAAAGTCATCGGCTCCGGTCAAAGCTATGCTAACCCTAACCCTAGACCACCCGCTACGGCTAAACTCTCTCCTCACGACTTACCTCCACCTTCCATCTTCAATTTCACCGCGTCATGGCCGCCTACAGAATATCTTTAGGTTACGAGGTACGTTCTATTATATCATATCTATATCCTATGCGATATGCATCGTATATCAAAACCAATTCTATACTGTAGCACGATGAGGTCCGACATCGCTTGAGCCAGCTGGTTGATCTCCCTACTATTGACAAGGACTGGGTCGACGAGGAACAATTTACTCCGCGATACAACATCGGGCCAAAGGGCAATGCCGCCATTCTGCTCATGAATGGTACGGATGGGGGTAGCTTGAATGATGTGGCTACGTCTCGTCTTGTTCTTCGTACTATGCCTTGGGGCATACTGTACGTCTCTGCAGTTAGGCGACGTCCCCTGTCCCCGGGCCTCTGTCGCGTCGCTTATTTTGACTTTTGTCCCCACGCCACACAGAAATGTCGCCTAAGTTCCCCCAAAGTGATACCGTGTCGTGAAAAAATCAGAAGAATCAGAATATTATATCATTTCACTCAGAAACTACTTAGAAAGCCGAAAGAACAGCAAGAGCGTCAGTACAAATACCGCATCCAACTCATTTGCAGGCTGGAATATGGATCGTCAACTTCGCCGCAACCTGTTATACCTCCACCGTACCCACCGTGCCGCCGCTACCTTCATCTGTTCCATCGATTCTGCTCCTAGCCACCGCCTTGGCTTCAAGTTGGCTTTGCACTCCTTCGCGGCGGGTTTCTTGGTGGATGGTTTGACTGATCTCAAACTGATCTTGTCTTTGTCGGTTTACCCCTCACCTCATCTGCTGTTTGGAACGCTGCCGAATTTTTACCTCCTCAGATAGCGATATCCAAAAGGACAGGGAGCGCATCAGCGGGCGCTGCGACGTTTTGCGAAGTTGTGGCGGGTGCCACCAACGCAACGGCATCGGATGCTACCACCCCTTGAGCAGTTCCAGTCTTAGAGGAGGATGCTCAGCACGTCATCGTTGATCAAGGATGCTACGACTTATATCATTGGTGCGGAGGGATTAATAGGTAATGTCAGCGCATTGAGAAGTATGAGAGATTCCAAGCGATTTGTTATAGTATGCCAAGGGTTGGCCAAGGGTGCGTCTGCTCCTCAATTTTTACCAGACTGCACGAATGACTATGACACGGCTCTAGGTATCATCTATGGCATCACACTGGAGCACCCGGCACTTCTAAGATTCCTTACTTCATTCGTTTTGTCGACGATCGTGTCATGTTCCTCGCTGGTCTGTACAACGAGTGCGCGACAGCTGCCGATCCTTCTGATATCACATGGCGTTTCACGGTGGTGTCCACGAACGCCAACCGAGAGATGATGTGGCTTAAGAATCGGCAGCCAGTGATACTCTCGACAGAGGCGGATGTGAAAGCTTGGCTTGATGTCTCTTCTGGTACTTGTCCTCCGGGGTTGTTCGATATACTTCGGCCTCACGACCACCAGGACCAGACAAGGAAATTGACGTGGTACGTCCTCCCACAGTTCATACTTTGCTAACCTGAGATGTTGCCTCCCACACCGCTAGGTACCAAGGCCCGATTGATGTCAGAATGCACGTCTGAACTTACCCGAGTTCATCCAACCTGTATATGGACGTCCGGATGGGATAGAGTCTGCATTCGCCCAGATGGATCCCGATATCGAAGCGCAGTCCTCGCAGGGTGAAGGATCAGTGCAGGTGGCATCCCCATCGTCCGCTGTGGCCACGCACGATTCATCGTCGTCCGCTACCGCCACGCAGGCTTCATCGTCATCCGCTACGCCCACGCAGGCTTCGTCGTCGTCATCGTCGTCGTCCCAGAATGTGCCCACTGCGTCGACGTTGACGCAAGCTGTGTCCTCTCAGCCTGCGGCGCCCCCGTCCGCCTCCCAGGGCATGCGCCCTACCTGCGCGCGCGCTAGACCTAAGCCTTCAGCTGATGCGGTAAGTCGCGATGCCTTTCTCTCGTTTGCTTCATCTGATAATTCTTGCTCCTGCGTTGGGAACGGAACAGAACAGTACCCCCAAGAAAAATCAAAAACGCAAAGACGACCCCGTGCCGGAGAACGGAAAGCTGACGCATCACTTCGATGTTCTGCCTCGGTGACGGGTGTCGTTGTCTGTGAGTTCACCTTGTCCTTCGCTTTCTTTATTGCACCAGAGCTCTGATATAGTGGCATGAATGATGTTGTGGAACGGAACGAACGGTGTGGATTGCGTGTGTATATAGTATTCAATGAAAATCATAACATATAGTATGGAGCGTAGAAGAAGGGAGACTGTAAGGACCGAGCCATCGCTGTGAAGACCTATCAGTGAAACTGTATTCAAACGAAGAAATTTCGGCTACCCCCACAACGAATCGTCCAGCGATTGTAAGTATAAAGTCCGTATCACAATTTCATCATACCGCGAAAGACGTCTACAAAACTCGTACCATTCTCGGCCCCCATCTCGACCTCCACCTCGAACAACACATCCAACATATCATCTACCCTCTCCCGACTCGGCAGACGATCCTTGTCGAAGATAAGAACCTCTTCGACGTTGGCTTTGAGCCAGGCAACGTTCTCGGCGGGGAAAGCCTCGTCTGCTGGCTTTTTCGGGTCCGTGATCATTGACCGATGAGGCTGAATGAGAAGTCGCTGTATCGGGACGCCCATCTCCTTCCTCGTCTTGACCAGGTCCTGGATCTCTTGCATATTCCCGCCTTTGATCCCTTGAAGCAGAACAGTGCTCAAGAGAGGCATACACGTCGTAGAGGAAGGGGTGGAGGAGTCGGCCTGATTCATCGCGTTATCAGCGGCTGTCAATTGGCGAGTATACTGGACGAGGTTCGAGATGTGATCCCGGTTCTTCCGAACGTCGAGGACGAGGAAGCGAACGTTGATGAGCCTGCCGAAGACGTCTTGCTCGTCTTTATCGCCGATATACGAATCCCCCTCAGCGCCTCCAAATTCACCCAGTTGAAGCCCTTCGATGGAGCCTAATATCGACCCAGGAAAGTGAAACGCAGGGTCGGCACCGTGATAATCGACCATATCCTTATAGCAGTTGTGAAGGGTCGTGAGAAAGCCATCGAAAGTGCGTTCCCAGATGTCGAGGGAAAGCCTCTTGAGGTTGGGGAAGTAGGTGCCCTCGAGGAAGAACTCGGGCCAGTATTCGGAGACGTCAGAGATGGAGAGCACTTCGAGGGCTGGGAGGCATACGATGTCGGCCGGCGAAACCTCCAGAGGCTCTTCCTGGACGACGAATGAATGGATGAAGAGTCGGCGGAGGTGGGGGAGTTCGTGCAGAACTTCGAACAGCTCATGTAATTGCGGCATCTGTTCCTCGCCCAAGTTGTAGAGCTTCAGAGTGGTGAGACTTTGAAGCGAGGGAAGAGGAGACGTCAACGTAACCCCGTCGAGGCGAAGGGAGCTGAGACTAGAATTGCGAACGCCAGTGAAGCCAACGAGGTCGCCATTGCTCCGACCGATGTTCACGGCGAGGTTGCGTACTTGGGGTGGGAGGATGTATTGGAGGTCTAGGGAGATGAGCTGGGGTGCAGTGGCAGTGTAGCACTGTGCGGCGAAGGATTCCATCATATCCGCGTCGTCTAAGACCACTCGAACCGAACGCCAGCGCTCGATGTGCTCGAGCAGCAATCCCAACTGATCGCCCATATCATGCCCATACTTCACTACCGCCTGTCGGTAGATAGCCTTGAGCAGTCTATCGTCCTTCTCATCAGCAGCGAAGAGCAACCAAGGAAAGGAAGGAAGCCACCGAATTGTGACGTCGAGAGGGTTATCGTTGGAAAACATGAGATGTGCAAGGAGAGCGCTGTGGTTCAGCCGACGATGGCTGACATAAATGTGGCCCCAAAGACCGGGCGTGTGTTGAGCGATGAATCGCCAGCGTCGGTTCACCTGAGATAACTGCAGAGGTAATTCGGACAGCTCCTGTGAGATGGTGTCGATGGCTTCAGAATTGGCGGGCATGTGGACGGTAGCCGAATTGGTGACGAGACGAAAGACTTTAGTCAATATCTCCATAGGGAGAGACTCGACGGCGAAGGAGTGGTCGCACAGCATGATCCTGAGAATACGAGCAGTAGCAATAGTATACTCAGAGAAGGAGCGTTGTGATGAGGGGATGGGAATGAAGTAGTCGACAACCCCTCAGGTCCGTGAGGGGCTGTCTTATATATGCACGAAAAAGTCTGAGGTATTCGGACCGGAGCATATTGGGCTGGCACACTGTGTCATTGTCCATCAAACGTAACAACCACCTACAGCCTTTGTCTGAGTGTCTCGAACCCTTGGCAACAACTTGGCAACCTTGTTTCGCCAGTTGCACCTTGAAATGGGCCGGGCTCAAGTGGTGATATTGGTCAATGGCTTTCTCAGCAGTGAATGTAGCAAGATAAAAGGCAACGAAGCGGCATCTGCGTACCACAGTTCGTAGGTAATGAAAGGGCTCAAATATACTTGCCGCCGTGCAAAATTGTCGCCAGGTGTCGCCGTCTTGACCGTCCAACAGCAGGATCAACTTCATTCGGATGGCAGCGGATGGTGTCCCCGGATCTTATCTTATCTTCGAAGTTTGGGATCGCCTAACGACGTCAATATTTGCAGAAACTGTTTCTCGCTTTCACCACCATGATCCTACGAACTCTAATTCCGAGTCAAACAGCGAAAGCATGCAAATATCACAGCTGTGAGTTACCGTTGAGTAGATATAATTCTGCCGGTTCTCTGCTACGATCGCCTTATCATCACACCCTATCGCGCAAGAATGCCATGCATTTGGTCCTGCAGGTAGGACCGCCGTACCGTTGCCACAGAGTTCACGGTCTGTTGACGCGCTGCTCGAATGCAGACCATGTCAAACTTCGATTTGTGCCTCTCCTGCGCTGATTTTCACATTTTGGAGAACCCAGAAGTGCTTTGAATAGCTCATTTGGTCTCCATAATTCATATCTGCTGCCTAGAGCACAAACCGATACCACAGGAGCCCGAAATCGCATTTCGGCCAGCCCAGAAAAAATCCGGGATATCCCGGAGGTCGGCCGGAAATGAGACGGCGTCGGTATCCACTCCGGTCTCTCGTGTGGTGTGGCAATCCAGTGGCCCAAATCCAGGACTGAAGCTGCCACGCATCAAATGGCCCAGGAAATATATATGCTATATAAAATTTACCGTGCATATAAGGAGACCCGCAAGGTGGCCCATCCATTGTATCTATTACTCGTTACGAGGAGTGTAGGAGTCTAAGGTGCCGCGTTCAACTCGATTGTCGCGACCAAACCAGAACAGTGTCTTCGATCGTGCATACGATGATCCGAAGCTACGTCTGGGTATAGACACATCACAAATAACATACCTACCTATAGTTTCCCCAGTGAATTCAATGAGACCAGTCCACCAAGTACTTGGAAGAAGAGTAAGTTGAAGCGGTGTGGCGGGTCCCATGCGGCGGGTTGCGGCTGGGCCACCTCCGGGGTGCATCCCGGATCCGGCAATGTCTTTTTTTAGCTTTTGTGCCCGCTGAATGCGTTTTGTGCGTTTTCGTAGCCTGAAGTCGGTTTATACTACATAAAAAGGGATGGATGTCATTGGATATGCATTCACGAGCATCCTAATGGCCCATGAGGCTTCATAACAGCAGAGAATGATTCAGAAAATCGGTCAGAGGGGCACAAGATTGGCGAGCATGAGAATGGCTCGAACGCGCGACGCGCGTCAACAGAGGGTGAACTCTGTGGCAACCGTACCGCCGTCGAGTCAGTCTCCCGTATACAAAGGTAGCAGTCTTCCTTTGTGTACTGGAGATTGACTAGAGAATTTTCACTTCTCTTTTCGACCTAGTTCTGGCGCACACGTGTAATTAACTGCGAATGGACCACCCATTCGATGTAGAGACGGTTGCTCGTCATTACTCTCTGAATGGCAATCGCTCTAGGATGCTCATCGGGAACTTGCATGTCTTCAGACTGGCTGGTCACTTGTGATCATCAGGCCCGGATCTTGTTCGTAATGATGAAGCACCTCTGAGGCCACCGGGAGCCAGCATCCGTAGGGACGTATAAGTACCAGCTTTCTCTTTCGCCAGGTTGTTGTGCGGAAACCAGTCGTCGATTTATCTTTTCTCTTACCGATTTGGAATGAACTCCAGTCAGAAGACGAACCACGATTAGCTTCCGATGACCTCAAAGCAACACGTGTATAACACGCATCGTTGATGTCTATAACAGGTCGTGTACTCATCGCGCACAGGCTTTGCCTCGTGTTTCTGCCGTTATAACGCGATGCTCCTCAATGCCGCATCCACTCTTTCTCTGCCTCTTCCATGTTCTCCTCGTCTTTGACAAACCACCGCTCTCGTTTCCTAGTGCTTGGTTGCCGTTGTTTTTCCCTGTAGACTGGTGGCGACTCGGCGTTGAATAATAGATAGCAGAGGCCATGAATAAGGACATCCCGAAGCTCGTGTTCAATAGAGAAGATGCGCTGAAGGTGATAGGTGTGGCGCCAGAAGGAACTGAAGACGATATCAAGGTTGCGTTCAAGCGATTGGTACGTTCGATTTCATTAATACTCCACTAGCCGTGGTTCCCGACCTTCCGCAACAGGCTCTTCAATGGCATCCCGATCGTCACATTACCGAGAAGGACAAGGACTATGCGACGCAACGTTTCATTGAGGTACGTGTAACGTGCAAGCTCAAGCGTTCAATCCTCGATGATCCATCTCGATCAGATCCATGACGCATACGATATACTCATGGGAAAGAGCAGTCGTCGTCCTCGACTCTCAGACTCGGACAAGCGTAGACCACCATCTGCAGATGCAGGACCGCCCCCTCCTTCACCGCCTGCTCCCGCTCCCGCTCCGCCACCCGAATCGACATCTACCGACCAGGTCAAGGTTCCGTCTCCTAATACATCCCCGAGGCCAATACCAGAAGATGCGCCCCGTCAATCCCGCGCTTCTGCAGCACCAGGACCGACCTCTCATGTTTCACACCATAATTCCGCGCAACCGCCCTCTCACACCTCTGAACGACCTCACTCCCACGTTTCGCAGCAACCTCCATCCCATGCTTCGGCACGTCCAGGATCTCACGCGTCCGACCGACCTCCATCTCATGCGTCGGCTCGACCTCCGTCTCAGACTTCTGCAACATCGCCACCCATAAATCATATCATGCCTAATCCTGGCTTCCGATATTCCACCGCGACTGAAGACAAGATGCTCCACAACCCTACACCCCCGGAAGGGACCCAGTCCGTAATCCCAGGTGTCTCGCGACGTTCTCCCGCCTTTCGATACGCGACGATGCCAGACGACAACTTTCCTGTTCAGTCTCCCCGTGCTGTGCATGCCTATATGGCCCCGGATACAAACGAAGCAGGTCCTTCTGCTCCGAATGGAGGTCCTGCCCGTCCGTCCCCGGGACCCAGAAATGCTACCATGCCAGAAGATACCCGACAGAAGCCGAGTTCGCGATCTAAACACAAGCACACGCCTGGGCCACCGCCACCTACTCCTGCTCCTCCGCGCACTGAACCTGCTACTGCCGAGCATCGCAAAGGTCGTCACGAAAAGAAGCGACGTGCCCGTCAGGAGACAGAGCGTCATCCGCGTCCGGAGGTGGCGGAACAGGTTCATCCGGCTGCAGACCATCAATCTCGTCCAGAGGCGGAACGACAAAATCGGCCAGCGCCAGGGCGAGATCCTCGTGTAGAGACGGACCGACAGCACCTCTCAGAGGCGGAACGTCGGCATCGGCCAGAGAAGGAACGTCGGCATAGGCCAAAGGAGGAACGGCGGCATCGTCCAGAGGCGGGACGACAGCATCGTGAAGAGGCGGGACAACTTCCTCGTCCAGAGACAGAACGACAACTTCCTCCAGAAACAGTACGACAACATCCCCCAGAGACAGAACGACAGGATCCTCCAGAGACAGAACGACAGCCTCATCCAGGAACGGAACGACGGGAACAACAGCCTCGACCTGAGGCCGAACGAAAATCTCGACGTCCTCATCGGCATCATGGCGCTTCCGAGACTCTCCTTGCCTCTCCTCAACCTCTACCACATCCTGCACCAGGGGCCTCAGCTGCCTCACCGCCTCCTGGACCGCCATTCGAAGCTCATGTTCCATTCTCAGAGCACTCACATGTTCATTCTCGTCCTGCCAGCATGCAATCAGCAACACCCATGTCAGCAGCATCCGGCCAACCATCACCTGTTTACCCTGCACGGTCTCCTCCGGTTCCTCGCAGCGCCCCTCTCCCCTCCGACTCGTTCTTTCAAGGCTCTACCAGCCCACCTCGCTCGACGGGTTCGATTGTCCATGGCGTAGACCACAGTCGTTCTTCACCTCATTCTTTTGATACTGCACCATACGCCCCTGGACGAGTTTCGACGCATTCTTACGATGCCCGACATTCATCGCCCATCCCGGACTTCTACATTCCTCAAGATTCACCTCCCTCACGTCGAACCCCTTCTCCACCTTTCAGCTCGCCACCCAATAGCTCATCCCCTTTGATGTCAACGCCCTTGAGCTCGCCACCCGTCATTCCAGAGAGCAAACGACCGCCGAATAAGCTGAAGAAATCTCGTCCTCGTGCGGTAGATAGTCTCGTCGAGATACTTTCTCCCAAGACGAAGACCAAGCATCATCATCAGGAGTTACCTCGGTTGGACACGGATTTTCCGCCGACTACTCGACCAAGGGCTGGGCCTGAACCTCCGATCCTTCCGTCACGTTCGGTGTCTCCGACGTATGTGATGCTGGATATATCGAGGAGTGAGTCCGGAGATTCGTTTCTCGAAGCTGGCAGTGGTGCCGAACACAAGCAGTCAGTACTCCGTCTCACTCTAAATTATTCCTGCTTTTATTGACGGTGACCTAAAGCGACACAATGCCTACTCACGCGCCCGTATACCCCAACCTACGTTCGAAGATTCCGATTCCGCCACGTTGCTGTCAACGTCAGTCTTTCAAAATGTTCACCAACTACGTCAACATCGATCCTTCCTCCGTCCCGCCGTATCCCATCACGCCACTTTCACCTCTTAATCCTCCCGAGCCACCGCCCCCGCTTCCTCCGACTCCTTCCAGCGTTTTCGGGCTACTTCCACGCCTGCGTTCTCGCGATGAGCTTAGAGCGGCCCCACCACCGAGACCGAAACAAAAGCAGTGGATCTTCCCTCTCAACGTTACACTGGAGGAAATATACCATGGGAACACGCAAACGTACCAAATCACACAACCTCATACTACCCTCGTAGACTCTCCGGAGGGACCTACCACTTTGCCGGTACAGATTACGATCCCGCGTGGTGTCCAACCGTCGACCCTCCTACCTGCGGGTGATCCCTTTCCTCATATCCTCTTTTCCGTCACCCCCGTTCCACATCCATACTTCAAGATCCTGGACTCCGTTTATGGACATCTCTGGATGGTCGTCGAGCTTCCATGGTCCGAAGCTGCCTTCGAAGAGCTAATACATTCGGGCGGCGTCAACGGCGGGAGACAAGGCATCAAGGGAAGTATGGTTGCGTTCACGGGGATAACGGGAGAGGATATGAGAGTGCCGGTACCGCACACGCCGGAAAATATCAGGAGTGCGTTGGAGAATGGGACGAGAATTCCTGGTGGGGGTTTACCGATTGTTAGCGATGACGGGGAGGTCATGGCATACGGCGATTTGGTGATTCGGTGGACCTTCTTCGTTAGTGGACAGGCGAAGGTTGTAGAGGGGATTAAGAAGGTGGTGTCGCATATGAAGTTTTGAGGGCTTTTTGTTGGTATTATACGGCAGCGACGCTTGCGTTGCTTTGTCGGTGGTATACACTTCGGAGCCGTCCCCTTTCTCAGTTCACACTGGCCATAGACGTCCAGTATTTCCATTCTCGCCTTTCTCCCTAAGGTTCAGAGAGTCTTTTATAGATGGCGACCGCCGTTAGGGACTACACAACTTCGTCGTGTTATATACTTTGCTTTGTATCATGCTATGGTGCTTTTTCCCTTGCTTTCTCGCTGCCTTGCATAATCTCCAAAGTTCTGCTGTCACTACTCTATTTGATCACTACCCTACGACTTCATTGTCAGCGAATAATATTTTCACCGTTTGATAATGCGCTCTCAATCCGCCTTGCCACTGTGGCGCCTGAAAAAGGTTCAAAACATGGTGCACAAGCTTTTCATCGATAACGATTCTTTCGACATCGACCTCCATGTCGACCTCTCTCCTCCAGAACAATCGGCTTTATAGCGTCCTACAGTTCTCGTAATCAAGTGCAAGAAATCGAGATACAGTGAACGGAATGAGTGGACCGGGAATGGCTCGACTGGGAAAGTGACCGCAAGCTGGTAGACCCTGGGGGGAGCGGTTCGATACTCATACGTACGTGTCTATCTTTTAACGGGTCCTGCGATCTGGCATATCTCTTTACACCCTGTTGTTAGGGCGAGTCATTATGTTGCTAGGATCTCCGTCGGCCTCCACTGGTTTTCTTTTGGACGTTCCCGAAAGTCGCCGTTCAATCTGTGTCTTGAAAACGTGACCGTGTCAGCGCATCTACAAGAGCCATTCTTTCGGCTATGTTCAATCGCCTATGTAAGGCCCAATCGACACCGAATTACCCTCTAGTTCTCTTGAGCCTGCATCCCTTTGAGCCTTTCCTTCGAACTTTCCCCCTTCTACTCCACCCTCACTAAATGGACCCTTCACTCTACCCCTCAGTCTCACCTTCGCTAGTGCATGGTGGGATACCTTTTCCGATCTTCGAGCTGGTCTGTCGCTGCATGTCGGAAGAGGACCGCGTTAAAGCCTTCAAGTTCATGGCTGCTGCATCTGCTGATCTTCGCTTTACTGCTGACCAAAAAGTACCTGACCTCTGCAGCTCGAGACTGGCAGCCTGCTTCCCCATACTGTCCCCCCCTGACGATGCGCTACCTGAAACTACTTCGTGGTCAGATTTCGCGAGGCAGGGTAGGCTTGTCTTGGACGAACCCTCTGACCCCAACGACGGCTGCTACCTTTCCGATCCAGACGGGTCTTCGTCCGATCTCTACCCGTGGGACAAGTTCCTCGCGAGCCCCGATAGTGATGGCTCACTCGAACCTCCCTTACTCCACCCCGTTGAAAGATACGCCTCGCGTGACTGGGATGTGACTCATGTTGTACCTCGCACCTACGTCGAGCATATGAGAATCATGAATCTGGTTGAGCGATCTGACAATATGCTCATCGACAAGCAGGCAGCACGGGAATCCCACGCGATCGGCGGCGCACCAATTCCCCCAAAACGTCGCCTTTCTGGCCGAAGATTCGAACCTTTAGATAGAGTGATGTACGAGTTTAAGGAACTTGACTGGTGGCTTCATCTTCTCGAGTCACCACAGCGAGGTTACATCCCTCCTCGAAAGGCTCCGGAACAACCTCTTAACCCAAAAAACTCTGCCTGTCAGTATTTTCCTCGATTTGTTCATGACAGTGTTGCTTACTTTGTTCTTCGTAGGGTTCGAGGAACAATATGACTACATCGGTCAAGTCGCCGATATGTAGTGCACCAAAGGTTTGTCTGTACTCGAAACCATTTGCCTGTTTGCCACGACTACTTGACTAATTTCTGCTTCTTGTTCGCTTTCCTCAAGGTTCGACGGCGCTGGGATCGTTCGCTCCTCGAGTGGAAGAAGCGTTGTATACTGCAGCCTGTGCCGCTGCGAGCCCCATTATCACATTTCCCATGCTTACATCTATTGTACAATATTTGAATCGAAGTACGCCACGCATTGCTTTTGCGTACGGGACATGGGCCGATTGTGCTCCAAGGGCCACGACCTTAGATTGTCGGTCAGAATTTCCGTACAGCCCGCCCCTTTGTGAGGATAAATTTACGTGAATTCTTTCAGTGCTCGAATGTACTCAGAGTTCCTTTACACAAAAGCGATGGTACGTACTACGCAAGGGGGCGGCAGCCCCCCGAGCCAAGACCTGATGTTGGGTCCTGCCTAATCCGGTAATTATTTCCTTATATGGTAGGAGTTTGGGGGGGGAGGGGGGTCTGGCCGAGGTCAAAATTTTTGGAAAATGCTCCAATGAGTGCGAGCATTCCAGAAAAATACTCAGAAAATATTCGAAAATCGGCATATTTCCCCCCTTCCTGACTTAATCCGGAAGGCTTTCGACCCCACAAAAATGCTTAGAATTCCCTTCTACAGTGAATAAAGCCTATGGGAAGATAAGGTCTTTTTCTTGGGGGCTGCCGCCCCCTTGGTACTACGCACGGGCCACTGGAAAATACCACGTGGCGTGCCTCATGATCGACGTAAGTTACACTTTCGCACGCACCATGTTCAAGTTTCTTTTCCCAACCTTCACCACGACTATGAACTGCAGTCGCTCCAAGGCACATTGACTCCATTTGAAGATATCAGGATCGCATCTTACTGCCAGATCTCCCGCGTAGACGTAACGCAAGGAATATTAGTGACTGCGGCGATCCAAATGGAGCCACCGACTTGGAGCGGCACAGTGGAACAATGAGCGACCCGAATGGATCTATTGGACCATCGATACTGTGCCCTCTTGCGTCACTTTGGGCCACGAGAAGAGACTCATTCCATCGGTGTACGTACTCCCTTTCATCTGAGCCGTGTTTTTGGTCAAACGGTCCTTCATTCCTTTGTTTCTTTGTCAAACTCGACACCGGAGCCTCGTTCCCGATTTTCTCCGACTGATTGACACATCACCACGGCCTTGAAGCGCGTCGAATCTGCTCTTGCGTCGGTTTCATGTGAACACAACCTCACTCTGGCTATTTTATTGTTCCCCACAAGCCTTCAATTGCCTGTCGTATCTTCTCTTCCTACCAAACACTCCCCCAGTTCCAACCTCGTCTTTCTTCTCTATCGTCCTTGCGTTCCTTTTCAAGCACTATGGCTCAGAATCCGGTTAAAGAAAATGACCGGACCTCTCTTTCCACTTCTTCCACCCAGATATCCAGCTACGTCATCCCTTTGTATCCTTTCATCCCACCGTCGTGGACAGGAACAAAATGTCCTCGAGAGCTGCAAGAGGTACGCCTTCGAAGGCTCCGCGCGAAACTTGACGGCATCTCCGGGGACTGGTCGGAACGCATACTCTCTGGCTCTGCGACATCTCTTGATCTCGACCCTCAAAGCTGCGAGGCGATTCAAAACATGCTAGATCTCCGTCACGAAGAGTCTGATCCACTGCTTGAGGCGGCGGACGGGCATCTACAGGAATTGGGTCTCGCTCCCTCAGACGACGCTCTGTCTGACACGAACACGCCGGTCTGGTTCCGCGCAGGGCAATATCTATGGGACGACACCCCTCTCACCGTCCAGGACTCCGAGTCTGGAGTCTCCCCGCACGTTTCGCTTGATTTCCTTCCGGGTTCGGTCGAACGTAGCCCAGAGTTCTATGAAGTAGCCTCGCAGATTCAACCTCGGTCGTACGAGGAGCATATGCTGATCATGGAGATGACGGACAAGTTCTCAAAGAGAGTCGATGGGAAGTTGAGGACAGGCTACGCTCCGTATCCCCACGAATACGGTGCCCCATCAACAAGGCCCTTGGACGCGTATACACAGATTGCGAAGTTCCTGGAGTTGATGTAGTGGTGAGTTTATCATCTCGTCTTGGTGATTATGCTGCGTATCCCCCATACTTATGAACAGTTTTGTACTGTAAGGTTTCTTTGCGTGCACAGTGTCAGTGTCACAACGTCATGTGACTCAGCTTCGGCGGTCGACATTCGGCTCTTCCCGCTCTCAGTTCTTGTTTCTCACGTCTCGGCGTCGTTTCTACATCGCAACCTGTATCGTCTCGCTTCTGTTTCTCTGGACCTTGTGTCGTGTATTGCTCTACTGTATATAACCTCAATATTTCTCGAGAACCCTTGCTAGCGCCTCATCCGGAGCCCGTTTTCCTCCACATCGCAACATTACCATCGACAGTAACCAGTTTGTAAAGCTTGAGAGCCGTTGTTTGAGTGCGCCAGTCCCGGACCTTGTGGATTTATGTTGCTTGTTTTGGTCCAGTGGAAGAGTCATCTACAGATCGAGTGGTTTGGAGTCGCTGAATTGGTACGTCAGCTAGTATCCTGACTTTATTCTGCCTTACTGACCTGTGCTAGTTTCCAGGCAGCCAAGCCTCCCTTGTGCGAGGTGAGGGCATTTGCTTGTGGATCTATACTGTCCAGCGGCTGAATGCACATGGGCCGGCTTCTCTCTGATCAGGTTTTTCCAACGTACTTTAGAGCAGACTACAGGTTCTTCATCGCGTGCTATTGGACGATTTTTACTAATGGTTTGGCCTTACACATATCCACATATGTTTATATCTAGCTCGTGCAACCGACTTCATCACCGTTGTTTTAGCCAGCGCGACGCTACGTGGCGAATACAGCACCGAAAAAAGCGCACAAAACAGGTCTACAGGAACGTGTCCCGATGCGGGGACACGTCTTTACAGTCCAGAGTGAAACTCCCCGGACTGTCTACCGCCTTCTAATGCATGCCAGGTACGTTTCCCCCGACGAAATTTCGACGTAAATATGATGTATCATCTTGAATTTGGAAGGTGAAACACCCATAACGAAGAAATCTTTGACCATCTTCTCGTACGTGCTCTATATCTGTCCAGTATGAAACTCGAGCGCCTGTCCTACTGTCTTTGGTGACTTCACGTATTCGCCGAGAGCGGGTCTCTACTTTAAAGAATCATGCTTGGCCTCGTTATTCTTGTGGTGATCAGTCGGGAGCATGTGTAGCTTGTTTCCCACTTGATCTCTCCGCTAAGCTGCCAGTCGCCCATATGGGCAGAAGGAGCAGTCGCCGGACATTCCAAGTTTCTTACAGCATTGTTGGTCATTTTTAGAACGCGCGTCATGTCCGAGCGCGTCACTGGTCGTCTTTGAGTTTCTGGGCTGCTCTATCTTTGCTATGCCTCGAGATACTTAACTGCCACATATGGGATTCTGGGCGTTGACCAGCCCTTGTGGCCCGCTGCATGCCTTTCCGATATGGATCTTGCATAAAATTCTCAGTAGATACGATGCTCCTCACCGTTGTGTTTTGTGTCACGGTTGCCGTTCTCAATCTCGGCAGGGGTATACGTACTGTGTTCAGTGTCTTTGCTTTTAAATGGCCTAACACGTCGACGCACATGCCTCGGGAATGCCTAGCCGCATTTTCCATGCAAAGAATCCGAGAGGAAACGTCGTTTGGCGAGTGGTCAGAAGCAATCTATGTCCTCTAGCAATACGCGGTGGGACTTGTGCTGGGCGGCTGCTGTCCCATACTCCGTCGTGTTGGTGCAACAATGTACCCCTTGTAACTGATTATTCGCGCTTTTGACCACTCCGCCCAGTCGTTACCGTCGGTAACTCTAGTGCTTCTGGATAGGAGAGCACGCTGGCAAGGACGCACATCTCCTGACAGCTGTCCCATGTCTTACAAAGCGAAACCCGTCCAAGATCTATATATGCCAGAATAGATTTCCTGGTCACCTTCACCTCAAGCTCCTGCTCTACAGCGAGTCCTCTCAAGCTACCGCCTAGCTCTACACTCTTTACGATCGTCATCAACATGCTTTCCTCCTCTTTCAAGCGTTTAGCTGCCTTTCTCACCACTCTTTCTGTCATGACCAGCGTCATGGCAGCCCCATTCGAGGCCCCCGTCGGGACCCGAGACCTGACCCGTCGCTTGGTCACTGGTGCTCCTCGTTTTGTCGTCTACCAGTCAGTCATTTCTCTTATTTCTTGACCTTATACGCTCATATCATATCCATGAATCCAGGGACGCTTGGATCAATGGCGAAACTGGCCCTCCCACGGTGTCTGAAATTACGGGTTTCAACGTCTTGTACGTTATTTTGTTTCGCTTTGCGTGATACAGAATGTAATCCGCAATATTATATCACAGCGCCATGGGCTTTTTGTTATCTACTGGAGGTGCTGATCAGGTACAGGAATGGGAGAGTCTTTCTGCGTCCCAGCGTTCCACAATCAAATCTCAATACAACGCGGCCGGTATTGCTCTGGTCGCCTCTGCTTTCGGAGCGACTGATAAGCGTATGGATCGGTTTTTGTATGATTCTCCATCGACATGACTGACAGGTATCGTCCACAGCTACTAGTGCCGGAGAATCTGCGACATCCCTCGGTGCGAGCATGGGCCAATGGGTTCTGGACAACGGCGTTGACGGTACGTTTGTGCTGGGATATTTTATGGTCGATCCAGAGCCGACTTTTTGCGGCGTTTTTGGTTTTGTTTCGCAGGCCTTGACATCGACTACGAAGACCTCGACGCCTTCAACGCCGGCAATGGCAACGCTGAGAACTGGCTGATCTCATTCACCCAGACCGTCCGCTCTAAGCTCCCTGTGGGTCAATACATCGTCACCCACGCTCCTTTGGCCCCGTGGTTTGCTCCCAACAAATGGGGTGGTGGAGGTACGTGGCCGTTTATGTGTGCTGTGGTATGCAAGTCTAACTTTCAATTGTGAAGGGTACTTGAAGGTCCACCAGAGCGTTGGCAGCCAAATCGACTGGTACAACATTCAGGTATGCTCTTTTTTCGGTCCTTATGTTTACCACGTTGCTCAAATATGAAAGTAGTTCTACAACCGTGAGCGCAATTCGTTTTCGCTCTGAAGTTCTTCATTGATGTATATCCGCCATTTCTCACGCAGAGGGTTCTGATTATACTACGGTATACTACTTTCTTGGCGCTGCACCAGAGTGTCGTCTGATAGCATGACTTACTAGTGCGACGGTCTTGTCACCGCCTCTTCGTCGACCTACCCGGAGACCGCCATCCTCCAAATCGCGGCAAATGCTGTCCCATCCGATAAGCTTGTCATGGGCAAGCCCGCTACCACTGCTGACGCGTCTACCGGTACGTCTCCTCACACTTTAAATCTCGTGATCTCTCAGTAACTCGTTCGGGTTCAGGCTATATCGATCCTGCTACCCTCGCCACTTGTGTTGCCCAGGCAAAGAACGCTGGATGGGTATGTTGTACCGTTGCTTATCACATCATTCGCAGTCCAAGTGACAAGTATTCTTGAAAGAACGGCGGTGTCATGGTTTGGCAGTACCCTGACGCTACTGCGTCCTGGATCAAAACCGTTCGTGGCTCCGCTTTCCCTATCAGTGGTGGTGGTGGTGGTACTCCGACTACCACTTCCCCGACCACTACTAGCACTGGCTCCAGCGGCTCCGGCTGTAGTGGTGTCTCCGCTTGGAGCTCCACTGTCGCATACGTCGGCGGTGACAAAGTCTCCTACAACGGCCACCTTTGGACCGCGAAGTGGTGGACTGAGGCCGATACTCCCGGTAAGCATTCTGGCTACTTTATCTTGAATGCTTGATATCTTCACAATATGCTTACTATGGTTTCTTCGATAGGCGGAGCCGCTGGTGTCTGGACTGACGACGGCCCATGCTCTTCCGCCGCTGCCACAGGCCTCACCTCCGTCACCATTACCTCCGCTTCTCCGGCTCTCACCGGTCCCGTTAACCCACCTTTCGAATTCCTGCATGGAGCTGCTGCCGCCCTCCCCATCGACTCGGATGCGATTAGCCCTATTACATCTGTTTCGGCCCCCGCTTGGTCCTCGGCGTCCGTTTCTTCCAATTCCACCGTGTCTGCATGGCCGACCGCGTCCGAGTCTGTTTCGACTACGGCCTCTGCTTGGAACGCGACCTCCACATTCTGGACGGCATCGCCCTCTGCGACGGCCAATACTTCGGTTCCGGCCTCCACTTCCACGGCGACCCTCCTCTTCACCACGGCTGCCGCTTAGAGCGTTCGTGCACTCTGTGTGGATAACGGACAACATGGCTTCGTTCATTATCCAGACCCTGTTTTGAATTTCGTTCATTTTATTTCCGTTTTCTCTGCTTTGAAAGTAGTTCAGTCGGTTTCTCTTCTATGTCTTATTCGATCCTTGAGTCCTCAGCACCGATCCTCTCCTTCTTTTATTTAATGGGTGTGCAGGTGCAGCCTTTTGGCCAAGTTTTATCCCTTGTTGCTACTTATGGTGTCCTTGTTCTCGAGATTTATGCAACGCGCCATCTTGGTGAGCTCGGTGTTGTTTTTTTGTACTTATTTCTGCTTACACTTCACGAGAAAAGTCCTGTGGGGAGCTATTTACGCTACTTCTTGAGGGGACACATACGCTTTCGGGAGTTTCCGGAAATCTCTGCCGCTGCGCGCGTATTTTCTCTCTTTCTGTTCTCGTTCTTTCGCCTGACTGTAGGGCCTCTCTGGTGCTGTATACATGCTACGCAGATCTATCACTTGAGAGCAACATTGCCCTTCTTATCACCACGCCGCCTCTCGTAAACTCTAGGTTGACTCTAGGTTTAGGCTTGGTCATAGGACAGGTCAAGATTTGAGTCTATTCGACTGCATTTATCTAAGAGGTGCCTGGTCGAATTAAGTTGTTTCGAAAGCCTCGAGCGTTCTAACATCAAATTCTAACACCCACAGCTAACAAATTGTACCGCCTCTACTAAATGTCCTACCTGCAAGCCGCACCGATCTTCACCCTCCCATATGAAATCGTCTTTGCTATTCTTAGAAAACTGGCTCGTCGAAACGCGCATGCACGAGATGCACTTCACCTTTCCGCTGCATGTAGCATTCTCTTTCGCCTTTATGTTCCCACTGACTGACCTTCATTTTCGAATAGACTTGCAAACACTTACATTACGTGATCACCAATGACGCCGAAACACAATACGAACTACATCTGTTTGCGGAGGGTCTCGTCGACGATGGAACACAACGTCCTTCTTCCACACTACAGGACCGTCTCACTCGCTTGATTGACCTTCGTAACTCATGACGCACTTTCTCGTGGACACGTATCGTGGATTTCTCCACCGATAAGGAGTGGAGCGGGGAGCAGCCAAAACTTCGTAAAGGCACCTTTCTTTTGGACCACAGAGGAGGAGACACCGCTCCTATATCGACTCCCCACGTATGAAGAGTCCGAGAAACTCACACGTTGCGATGACATTGAGGCTTTTAACGCGTCGTACTTCGTAGACCCTGAGCAGGATCTAATGGTCCTGTTCAACGTCCGAGAGAGCTTCGAAGGGCCGTACGCTCGCATGATCCTTCGCACCCTGAGCAACAAGACCCACCCGGATGCTCGCATGCCCGTTCTGGAATGTTATATGGAGCACGACATGGCATTGTCGGGATGGCCGAACGATCACAATCATGTGCAAGTGTTGGACGATATTCTTGCATACTGGACGCATCGGTATCAACGGCTGGTGTTGTGGAATTGGAAGACGGGAGTCATGTTTCTCGTACGTCTCTATCAGGATTTTCGCTCTGCAATACTGTACTTTTTCGACCAAAGGTTCATCAAAAATGTACGTCATCCATCAGTTTCGCCCGGGTCACGGTTCAGAAACCGTGCGTGAGCGTGACGGGACCCGTAAATGGTTCAGAAAACAACTTAGGCGCTTGCAAAAATGATTATTCTGCGCAAGCGCCTGCCGAGGTCACTGTTCGCTCACCATGCGTTATGCGTGAGGTCACGCAGGATTTTGTTCGGTTCACCAGCGCGGAGAACGCGTGACGAACCCTTGGTCGAAAAAGTACAGTATACCGTTTTGTCAGACGCTGATAACTCTTCTCCAGGACTATTATTTTGGTGACGACGATCCCACGCGACCGACGAGAAGTGCACCCCGTTTTGCATTCCTCACGTCCCTTTGTTTCATTATCCTCGACCATGAGGGCTCGGGTTCTCTGGACCTATTCTCGGTGGAATCCGCCGCCATCTCAAATGTACTTCAAGTCGACAGCTCCAGCGAGGCTCCGCCCCACGACCCGGTTCACATTGCTTCATTCGCTCTTCCGACCATAGATCCGGGGCTACGAGTCGGAGGCATTGGCATCAGCGGTCATCCTGCCTCGTCTCCCTCTGTTCTCCGTGTCTCCAAATCGCCGTTTGCTCTCGCTCCCGATGGTCATGTTTACCGCCTCGATGTCATTTACGTTCCCCATCCCACCGTCAACCTGAATGACGTCCCATTCGATCAGAACATCTTCTGCGAATTCTTCATCCATGCTCGGACATTTCTGGAACACCTCAGTTATGCTACCACGACGGAACCGGGAGTAGAGGTAGATGTTCGAAAGATACCTTGGTCGGAGTGGGGACCGAAGGGTAGTCGGGTCTTTTGTGGATGCCCTACAGACCCAGTAGATGAGTTTGACACCGCTTTGCATGCCACGTACGCTACACTTTTGCGATCTATTCCTCCGCGTGATGATGTCCGTATACAAACTAACAAAACTATCATCAATTCCACAGCAAGGATCACTCTTGGAACCTCCACGGTCAACGGGCATCCGCATACCGTTCACACACACAAATGGACCAATCGAAAATCGGAACAGTTATTATACCTACCACACGTGGAAGATCGTCGAGTTCGGTTACCACGTCATGCAGTACCCTTTACTAGAACCATCCGCCACACCTTTCTTTCCTATACCACCACGCGGCGGTGAATTTGGCTCGGAAGACTTCGCGAAGGAGAGGACCACGAAGCGGGCCATGAGAAATCTCATCGGGCCTTCGACGATTCCGAAGGAGACGGGTGTATTTGAGGAAGATGTGGTGTCTTGCTTGCCTTACCACGTCGTGGTACTGGAGAATGTCGAAGGATCGGTTTGCTATATCGACGACGAGAGAGTCCAGGAGGTCTGGGTGAGTGTTAAACAATACTCAATCTGGATATACCCTTCACGACTAACTTGAGCATCGCATGTACTTAGATTGACAACAGAGACGGTGCTGATGTATTTAACTTCCGAACGATTGTATTTTGATCAACACGCTAGCAAATATGGACGAACGGGCTTCGTGGTTTGGTCAATTCAATATATGCACAGTATCGACAAGTTGTGACCTGTGGACTTTTTTGGTTCGAACGTATTTTTAGGAATGGATTGCTCCATTGCCCAGCTCGTAGGACCAGCACTTAAATGGTCGATGTTCGTGTGTACTGTACGTGGTCGCTTACGCAGTTTGGCGGCGAGGAGCATGAACGGGTGGCAAAAAGCGAACTGTGTGGCACCGAACTCCATTTGAAGCTCCGAAAGGAACACTATGAGCGCGCCCTTGTCGGAGCTTTAATATTTGTTGAGTTCATCTTCGTGGCGAAAACACTCCTTTACTTCGTCCTCTCCTGGGCCCTGCTGTCTGCAAGACTGAAATCTTTGTTTACAATGCTATAATTCTTGTCTTGGACAATACATGATGTCGTCGGATAGCCTGCTACCTTTCCACAAGTCGATCCTCGAAGAAATCCACGACCCAAAGGCGAACGACCTCCTGCTGCTCGCTCGTGGTCTCGGTCTTCGTAGGATAGTATGCACGCTCATGCAGATTTACGAATCACCTGAAAACCTGGTCGTACTTGTCAATGCGTCCCCGGAGGAGGAAGCTGCAATTGGAGAGGAGTTAGGGATCATGGGTTGTCGGAGGCCTGGGTTGCGTTCTGTTGGGTATGAGATGGGGAAGAAAGATAGGTGCGTTATATTCCACTCTTTCATGGCAACGTACCCCCGGACTAGGTTGGAAATAGAAGATAATATTGCCTTTGTGCGGTGGTGAGAGACCCTTGTGTATCTAGTGCAACTACGTCTTCACAATCGCTGTATCGTATTCGGCGTTAGAACTCAATACGCATGTCTTACCCATAGGTCTGTGCACTGGGGACGAGCTGAGCTGACTTTGCTCACAAAAACTTGTGCCAGCAGATAAAGTATATTAACTCGCCTAACATAATGTCATAGACGCGTACTACATATACTCTCTCCTCGGCCAACTGCTTCGTATCATCACTTCATCTTACGCTGATTACCGTGGAAGGCAGGATCTCTACAAGAAAGGCGGTCTCGTGTCTGTTACTTCACGCATTCTAGTCGTTGACATGCTTCAGTCTGATATGCCAACTGAGCTCATCTCTGGTCTACTCGTTCTCCATGCCGAAAGGTATGTTGACCCTTTCCCATGACGTCGTTGAGTATTGAATGAGTATGTATCTTGGTAGAGTCACTGCGCTATCACTGGAAGCCTTCATTGTTCGCCTGTATCGAGAGAAGAATAAAGCTGGCTTCTTGAAAGCTTTCACCGACCAACCTGAACACATTACGTCTGGTCTATCGCCACTCAAGAATATAATGAAAGAACTTCAACTTCGAAGCGTGCATATCTATCCACGGTAAGTATATACGCCTTCCCTTTTCTTAGGCAGAGTGTTCACGATGTGCGGTTCGTGCAGGTTTCACGCGGACGTGAAAGACTCCCTCGAAAAGAAACGCGTAGATGTCGTAGAGTTATATCAACCTATGACAGAGCTCATGAGCGACATCCACCACGCTATAGTACAATGCATGACCAGCACCGTGGCTGAGCTCAAGCGCTCCAATACTCACGTTTGTCCCTCTTTACTTCAAACAACCTTACGACTGGGCTGACCTTATGATAGATGGATCTGGACGACCTGAATGTCGAAAACGCATACTTCCGCTCCTTCGACGCCATCGTCCGTCGCCAACTCGATCCCGTCTGGCATAAAGTGGGACCACGGACAAAACAGCTCGTCAGTGATCTAGCCACTCTTCGCCGATTATTAACGTATGTCCCACCAACACCTTCTCAACTTTACCCGGACCGTCAAATTGTCAATGTTGAACTGATTATTTCATTCGTGCGCCTTACTAACAGGTACCTCCTGACGTACGACCCTCTCGCCTTTCATTCATACCTCGAAACCATCATCGCTTCCAACTCCATATCCGCCGCCGGTAACGCACGGCACAACCAATCGCCATGGCTCCTCACCGACGCAGCGCATATCATCTTTTCTAGCGCGAAACGCCGATGTTACACGCTTGATCAGACCACATCCTCGTCCGCAAATGCATCTCCACAGCCGCGGGTGGAAGATGAGCTGGACGACGAAGAGGGGTGGAATGCCCTTGATGAGATGGAATTTGGGAGGCTGAATCAGACTGATAATGTGCGTGGAGCAAAGGGCAAGGGAAAGGCGAAGAGGCCAAGGTGGCTGCCGAAGGGGATGGAGCCTGTGCTTGAGGAGCTGCCGAAGTGGAATCTTTTGGCCGACGTTTTGAAGGAAATTGAGGATGAGATTATGAGGCAGGAATCGCTCAGTTCCGGTAGGCTCCCTCATTTTCCTCCCTCGTCGCAATCGCTGATGGCGTTCGTGTTTCGTTGCACCTGGTTGTAGCCGCGAGAGGAACGAACACCGTCCTCGTCATGACCTCGTCCACGCATACTGCGAATACGGTGTCTGAGTTTCTTTCACGCCTGGATCCGGAAGCCGAACCAGGCGCGCAGGGACGAAGTATGTTAGAGGAGAAATTGAGGCTCTATCTATGGTGGAAGTCCAAGCTGTCGAGCGAGAAGAAGCGAGATGGTGTCAGGCCCGGGTTCTCTGCGCCACGTAACGATAACTGGGATCAGAGACAAGGTGGCGAGGGTGAAATTAGTGAGGCGTTGAGGAGGAAGGATAGCGAGAGGAGGGAGAGACAGGCGGGGAGGAGGAGAGTAAGGGGAGGAGCTGTCACTGGGGCGGAGAGTACGAGGGATAAGGGAAAGGAGAGGGAGAGGGATGCGAGTATGACTATGGGGGAGGAGGTTATGAGGGACGAGGCGGAGAGTATCGCGGACTTGTGAGTGCAGAATAGTCTCTTTCATTGGTCCGTTCGCAGGCTGACATCGCGCCACCTCCCAGCCTTGCCACCCAAAATCCTCTCACTAGTGATGCTCCTGGGCTTTCAAATTCCAGCCCGCTGGCTACCGCCGACGAAGATCGCGACCTCGCACTCGCACTCGCACTGTCGGAAGAGGACCCCGTGGCCTTTTTGGTCATGCAGTCCGAGTTCAATGACTTTTACGGGCTGGTGCCGCCACCACAGGCTGTACTCGTGCGAGCGTACTCCGACGACGGAGATGATAGGATGCTGGCAGAAATACAGCCTAGGTTCATCGTCATGTTCGAACCGAACCAGGACTTCGTTCGACGCATTGAGGTGTGTCTCTTATTCGTCGCTTGTCCGTTTGGAGTCGTCCTGACTGTCTTTGCCTTGACGACAGGTCTATCGAAGCTCGAATCCGGGATTGGCTGTAAGAGTGTATTTCATGCTCTATCAAACGAGCTGTGAAGAGCATAAGTATTTGGCTGGTTTGAGGAAGGAGAAGGATTCTTTCGAGAATTTGATCAAGGAGCGTGGCGTAAGTTTATTTACTGTCTCCATACTTGTGCTATTTACGACTGACATATCATCACATAGTCAATGTTGCTCCCTATCTTTGAGGACCAACGGGCCGGAACAGACGTAGGAGAAGCTTTGATCAAGACGATCTCTTCTCGTGTGGCAGGGGGCAGGAAAGAGGTCTCCACCGAGCCTCCACGGGTGAGCATCTTTGTCTAGTCTTGGTCGTTATTGCCACTGAGTATGCTTCGAAAGGTCATCGTGGATATGCGCGAGTTCCGCTCAACCTTACCGTCGCTACTACATGCATCACAAATTGTCGTCATTCCCGCTACTTTGACCGTAGGCGATTATGTCTTGACGCCTGATATCTGTGTTGAACGCAAGAGCATACCCGATCTCGTGTCGAGTTTCAATAGCGGTCGTTTGTGAGTGCTCTAATTTGCCATGTAGACCTCGACTGATATGGAACTGTCCAGGTATACACAATGCGAACTCATGTCCGTGCACTACAAGCAGCCCATCCTGCTCATCGAGTTCGAAGAACACAAATCCTTCTCTCTCGAGGTTTGTCATGCATTCACCACCAGTAATTCCCTCTTCTAATGCCAAATCAAGATCGTCCAAGACATGAAATCGTATGTGAAACCCACAGCAAAATATCCCGCCAAAAAACTAGGCGGTGCCCAACCAGAAGGCTTCGCCTCGGGTCTACCGTCCATCCAATCCAAGCTTGTCCTCCTGACGCTCTCCTTCCCTCGCCTTCGCATCATCTGGTCCTCCTCCCCGTACGCCACCGCCTCCATCTTCAACGATCTCAAGGCCAGTATGCCCGAACCGTCTCCCGCCGCTGCTATCGCCATCGGTGCCACGGACGACCCAGATGCCGGGAAGGGGGTGAACCAGGCTGCAGAGGATTTGTTGAGGACCATTCCCGGAGTGACGGCGAAGAACGTAAAGTTTGTGGCGGGGAGGGTGGGCAGTGTAAGGGGGCTGTGTGACATGGGGAGAGAGGAGGTGGAGGAATTGTTCGGGAAGGAGCCAGGGAAGAAGTGTTGGGAGTTTTTGCATTGGGGGGAAAGGGGAAGAAGATGAAGGCGCTCGAAGGTGTTCATGTGCGTGTGTTCTGTATGTATACGTCGTCGTTCAGATCAATTCACTTGTTGATCACCTCTCGTGCCGCTCTCTAGTGCCATGGGTGACTTGTTTATATATGCCCTTCATCTCAGCTTCAGCGTAGCCGATCCTTGCCACGAGCTCGCCTCGTTACTGAAAGACTGATATTCATTCTGGTGGAAGAAAGAGTGTATATCATGTTTTGTTGGTGGCGGGATGCAGGGTGGCGCAGCAGAATGAGGGACTCTTGAGCGCGGATCGAATGGTGCTTTATAAAATCTTCAAGTTTCTCTGGGTTTGAAAATGTGTTTCATCTAACTACCAGGGCGAACATCAAGCTCGAATTACTTGGTTGTCGTGTCGAGTGAGAAGTATCGTTCGGGTCGCTACCGTGACAAAGAAGCCACAGCCCTCAGATGAACGCCACACTATTCGGTATTTGCCGCATCTTCTATCCTCGAAATTTGACCCTTTCAGCTGATACCACCATTGTCTTCACTGGTTGTAATAGGTTACGTGTGACAACAGAAAAGTATACTGCCACGCCCTGTTATAACCAATCCTTTTGCCTTGTATATGTACTACTTTCTTGATCGCTTCTCTATATTGCGAATTCAGGCATGGATATCGATCATGTTGACTCAACCTCACTCCTCATGACTTGACCCGCCTTTTGCGGCTCCTTTCGAGTCAAACACGGTAGGCAGAAGCAGTGTATTTGGTTGCAACGAGGTTCTAGCACCCTGCCATCATCTAGATATAGCAGCCTTTGACACTAACAAGGAATGTTGGCACGGAACAACAGTGACTCCGAGTCGGGCGCTTTGTAGCGGCGCACTGCCTATTGTTCCACATATATAAACCCGCTGTAGAAGACGTTTTTCACCCTATCCCCTTCACACCCGCCACCACTACCACAATATTCGTCTCACGCCGCTCAATGACACAAGAGACGACCACTACGGTCGCAGCAGAGGCCCCCAGCCCTGTAGTATCCGCTATGGACCCGTTCAGAGTACTGCCACTGCTCCTCACCCGGATTCTTTTGTTCTTTGTCAAATGGATCAACCCTCTTGCTCTGGAACACGACTCTGACGCCACAGATTCAGGCTCCGAAAGCACTAGCTCTGACGAGAAGAACGAGAAGAGCAACGAGGAAAAGGCGAAGGAACTCGACGAGTCGAAGACACAGAAACCGTGTGGAGAGTACCTCAAGCGGTGGCAATTATGGTTAGTAGACTCCCTGAGTTTACATTCTCGTCTCCATACCCCGCTATGATATGCGGAAATCAAGAAAAGCATTCGTCCGTCTCGTTGACCCGCTGACACATATACATTCGTTTTTAGGAGCCGCTTTGATGAGGAATGGGAACCTTATGATCCCTCGGGCGCTAAGCCCGAGGAGAAAGTTGAAGGAAAATACTACTTCCATGTCATTGAACGATTCAAGACGCCTTACAGTATGTTTCCCTCACCTGGGTATACCCCTTGTCCATGTTTTCTAGTTCTAAATACTGTCTTTATCTCGTAGCACCGGCCAGCATATGGCTAAGCGACTTCAGCGACATTCTCTCAGCTCTTCTACAGTATGTCCAATTCGATGAAATTATATATATGCTTGATATAATTGGTGCTGCCTTTTCAGGGCTACGATCGGTGGTGATTTCTACTGGGAACCCCAAGTCACGCCAGACCAGTTCTTTGAACACCTTAAGAAGCTTCGCTCATGTGTATCTGTCGCACGCAAGGCCTTGACCTTAGACAATCTGGACGACCTAGATGAACACGAAGAAGAAATTATGAAAGGTTTCGGACGTGACCCGGACCTTGAGGGTCTGTCTCCCTAAATTCTCGTCCTCTTTAAACCCATCGGCACTCACTCGTACACATCCTATATTCAGAAAGCAAAGAGGATAGGAGAGCATATCTCGAGGATCTAATCAAGCAACTTGAGTACCTTCTCGCTTTCGTCGAGAAGGAGTTCCAGCCCACGTTGGTACTTTTTCCCTTCCCACATCTTGTAGAGGTTGACTTCTTGCCCTTGTCTACAACAGTGCAGACCGCCTCACACTCGCCGTTTCCCATGGACGTATCTCCTACGATCTGCTCATGTACTTCTTTCTCCCGGGTGATGATCTCCTGACAATCGACATGGACGATAATGGGAGGTCCGATAACCAGCCTGTGAGTTTCCATCTTCGTACCCCATGAAATGTTCTCAACGGCACACCTACATATCCTCAGCTTGCCTTCACCCTTCACGAGCGCGGTTACGACTGTTTGTAAGTATATTCTCCATTCAAGGTTCATCCAGACATCTGGACTCACTTCCCTCGTGTCATTCCCATTACAGCGACAAGATCGGCAAAGCCTTCTACCTCCAAGGCTACGGCGTCGAATGGGACGGTGCGGAATACGTACGGTATTCCCTCCGACGACTTATTCCCAAATTTCAAGGCACAAAGAACATCAATGAGCTGATGTGCTCAGTATTGACGGATGAAAAGAAGATCTTGCTGCAGGCCAGAGGAATGCTGTATGCTTCATTATCTGGGATTCACTATAAGACCTGTGAGTTCGTTGCCCGCAATGATTCGGCATCGACTTCTTTATTCTTACCATCTCTTGACTGACTCGTAGACCGGAACAAACGCGTAATGATCGACAGAAGAGCATTTGACGACCCAGACGGCTATCTCCTCGACCCGTACGTTCTTTCTCTTTTTTCCCTGCCTGTTTTTTGTTGACACTCGTAATCCGTAACCATTTCCTCAACATAGAGATCAAACAGTCCCGGAAGTCGAGCAGTCGCGGCTGCACCTCCTTGCACCCCACGTTTACGGTTTCAACCTTGGGTCCAAGGTAGGTGTTCTCCTTTTCTGTCGTACCATCACGCTTCTCACTAGACATCCTCAGAAATGGATGACTTTCATTGTAACTGAGCTTAAGGACGTTGTTTTCGATGAGGATGCCTGGGAACATCTCGTTCTTGAGCAGAAGACCAAGGTGCACTACAACGTGACCAGTCCGTTCGTATGGTGTACTCAATATGCGTTTGGCACTACAGGATTTGATCAGAGCCCTCGTTGAGGTCAGCCGGAACTCCAACTCGAACAAGAAGATCATCTCGGACGTCATCTCGGGCAAGGGCGGTGGTCTCGTACGTCTGTTTCTACCTCCCCATACCTGCTGTGCATATCTGTCGCCGGCCACAGTATTCTTACCATCATGTTTGGTATCTGGGTTATCCTTGACTAGATTTCAGTTCTTCACGGCCCTCCAGGAACAGGAAAGACGCTCACCGCGGAAGGCGTGGCTGAGCTTCTGAAGAGGCCTCTGTATATGGTCGGTGCCACGGAGCTGTCGCTGACGCCGCACGAGATGGAGAGAAGTCTCAAGGGCGTTCTGAGCGTGCGTGCTTTATCCGTGTCCTCACAAATTACGACTCATACTGATTTGTATATGGGCGGAACGTAGTTGGCCACTGCATGGGATGCGGTTCTCCTCGTCGATGAGGCAGACGTGTTCCTCGAGGCCAGGAGTTTGCATGAGGTACATCTATTCTCTTGTTCAGTCGGGAAGAGCAGTGGCTGAATTCGCGTTATTTCTTTAGTTGGATAGGAACGCCCTCGTCTCCGTAGCGCTCCGCGTTTTGGAGTATCACAAAGGCGTCCTCTTTCTCACGACCAACCGCATATCTTCGTTCGACGATGCTTTCCTCTCAAGGTTCTCTATTGGTACGTCTCCGTTCCTGACCTTCACAGGAAAATCTAGCTTCGTTCCTTTACCTCCTGTCCCCGTTCCTCGTTGTATTCTCCCCTCGGGCTCGTTTACTAACACGTGAAATACCGTTTATCTCAGCTATCAAGTACCCGCCACTCGAGAAGGACCGGAGACTCATCGTCTGGAGACGGTTCTTCGAGCTCGCGGGCTGTTCGGTTGACCATGAATCTGAGCGGGTAACGGAGGCCGATTTGGACTGGTTGGCTAGTAAGCCGTTCAACGGTGCGTGTTCGTGTGCCTCTTTCACACCGATATCCAACGTCTCTAGTACTTGGATACTGGTGCGTCTTGTTCGTTGGTGGTTGTTAACTCATTATCCCGATTTCTTCCCTCTGATTTCAACTGGGTCCCAAATCTATTCGGTCTCTTTCTCTTCCGACTTCGGTATCGCCTATACTATAACACGCCGGCTTGCGTCCATCGGCATGGTATCTCGCACTGCAACTTTATCGTGGATTCTGCTCTCCTCCGATCGTCGACGCCACTTGTGCCTCCCGATGTCTCCATCTCCCCTTCCTGTCGTCCATATACGGTCCCCCCCCCC